ACCAACGAATACGTGACTCTAAATTAGGCGCCAAAAGTAAACTTGTGATGAGGAACCTAGGTATACAGAGGCACTGTGAAGGGCCAAAGCATGAAAAGGAGCATATTTTCATCAAATAGTCCCTCGAAAATGGTTCACTGGCGACTTGCAGCGTAAACACACGCAAGACCAAGATACTTTAAGTAATAATCGAAAAATCCGCGTCAGGATAGGAAATATGAAGAGCGTAAAAGGCTTGATAGCATGATAAAGGGCCCGTGGTTTTAAAAATACTGTTTAGTATAGTTATTTGGGTGAATGCAGCAATTTTTGAGGAATTTTATTTGCCCCACTGACTCTATGAGTTTGGATTTAATTGACAGAATATCAGCAAACCGTGGAAGGCCAAATAGCCTGCAATTAGGATGACTTTACTAGAACATCTAACCAACAACACGCAAAATTCCGCTCACCCATGAGTTTTGTGAATTTCAAAATGAGTAAACACACCAAATCAAATATCCCATTCTATGCTAAAGCAGACTACCAAATATCAACAGGTTGTATTTTAGGTTTGAATGGACTGATTTCTGTATTACAACCTAGCGGTCAAGTACAATGGTCAAAGCTATTTCGGGTTGCTGAATGGCTAGATGTCGCAAAAACACTTGAAGTGACAGTCTTCAGCCATAATGAGGCCGGATCCAGCATTTGAAGGGAACAACGCGAGTTTTTGCTTAGATGTTATGTCTATCTTAATGTCATCGGCCAGCCGTATTTTGCTTGTATGACACGATAAATTAGCAGTGGGATATAGATAGTCACATTCTTTGTTAGCTACATCAAAATTCAGCCATAGCCCTGAAAAAGGTAGTGTGGCAAAAAATTGAGCACAGCTAAAATACATTAATCAGACCAATACCACATTATGGTGGCTGTTAGCTGGCAAACTTAAACGGGAGTGCAGATACGAATTTTCACAAGCATAACTTGTACCAAAAGTTGAAGATCCGAATTTTGAGTGGATAGGATCACAGTAATGCGATACGATAGAATTCACTAGCACAAATTACATAAGGGGAAATAGGGGGCACCTACGCCTAGACTAATGACGTGGACATGATAACGATAACCAGAAAAAGACGAAGCACCAATGTTACATAGCTATTTGGTATAAGGCTTGGCAAGGCCCCCTAAACCCATGGTGGGGCCATAAGCACCACATACTACCAACGCAAATTATCCGAAAATATATTTACTTTGTGGGAACTCAAAAGTGGCCACAAGAAAAATACACGATTTAAAAAGAATACCAATACTTATCAGGCAGGATTGTCAATATTGAGGGAAAATTTAATGAGACAAAGATTGGCTACGTAGTAGCTACATTGGAAGCATGTTTAAAACCTGTTAACAATTGAGGATGACGATGGAAGATTGCTGTCAATAAACCCATATGGGCGAAACTCATGAAGTTAAAAAACGCTAATCGAGGATGTCCTTCTAGAGCTCGCAGCAGAAAATAGGACAGCCATAACGACCAGTGTATTCATACATGAGATAGCGACCTAATAGATTTCCATCAAATCAATACTAACTCCAGCAGAGAATCTCACTTAATGGCATATTGAAATTCTGAACCGGACGAGAACGTTAGTTCCCTCAGATAGGATCACATATTCCTGACTGTGATGTTAATGACGTTGAGACCCCCTCCATTTACGGTAACAGCGCACAAAGTAAGCGTAAAAATTGGTTAGTTAGATGAACGACCAGTTTTTAACATTGGCCAATTAAAGAAGCAATTAACCAACATCGAGAAATATAACCAAGTATTAGGTTCGCCCAAACATTGCCATGCCCATTGAGACGCAACCAGGGTCGTCCGGCGAATAAGCAAGTTAAGAACCACCAAAAATATTGCTGGAGTCATGACTAGTGAGAGCATTAATAATGGTAGAATACTAACAGGCGACCAAATCGGCATAAAGCAGGCGGCAATGACAACCTGATAGTTCGAGAGATTGACTTTAGTGAACGTGAAACACCTCGTTAGTTTTACACAACCCAATTAACGGGCTACAAGCACGATTAACAAATCTCCATTGCGACCGCATAAGACATTAAGTTACAGATAGGTGGGTTCCCACGTGCAAGCACACTCACTCAAGTTTACAGAACCTCTTCAGTTGAGTTCAAGTAGGACACGTATCTAGTTACAGAAGTTTTAAAGGAATATGGAGATCATTCATTACCCGGTCGCAAATACGATTTACAAGAATTTTGCGGTTGCAAACATCGATCATACGACAGTGCACGTTGCGGATGTATGTAAACGAAGAAACGGTGCGAAATAGCGAAGCCCAATAATTTTACGCCACAAAGACGGTCTACCGAGGAAAAATAATTCCTAGGAAATTCTACTTGGGACACTAATTCAAGCTAGGCTACTAACGGAACTATACCATGTTGTATTATCGTTTAACAAACTTTGACGCCCAAAACGTGCAAAATGTACCAATTAGTACTGTAGGTGACGACTTACTTCCACTTTCTTCTATAAAGTGCACGTGGAAACAGCGATGTCGTTGATTGGCTGCTGTCGTGCTATTTATCACTTACTTTAGGATACCGGACGCAGAAGCCGACCACAACTAACGTTATAATACCGGAGAATTAAAGAAGAGAAGGCAATATTCAAAACAATTATCGATTACAAAACAACAAAATTAAGCTGATTCGAATGCAAACAAACTTTAAATTCGAAGAAAGTGGAGAAGACATTGCCGTTCCAATCACGAACGCCTCTGAAAATGTTACTAATGCGGACAAAACAAAAACAACAAACTTTATACGTGCGTCGACATATAATGGCATCAAGGTCTAAAAATAATTATCTGCCGACAGGAACAATAAAGAGAATCCGCATTCATCCGTCATTTAGCTGGCGAACTGAAGATTGGACCGCAGTCATTAGCCACATTGGGTGATTCTGAAAATATTTGAGCGATCAAATCATTACTTGAAATTTTTAATGGCAATCTAAGTGCGGTTGGTAAACTTAATACTAACGCAAAAGGCCAGGTAAAGAGCCAAATAGAATTAACACAAATCCGCTAGACAAATTCGATTGCAAAGACAAGTAGGACGAAGACAAACGAGATAAACACGTCCACCGCCATTAGGCCTGAACAAATTCTAACAAATTTGCTGGGAGTAAAAAATTAAAATTTTTATTAGGGTTTCATGAATATGAAATAAAAATAATGTTTTTGGCTATTAAAGGACTTGTAAGATTAGTGGCCAGTCCGAAAATACCTCTTGTTCTTGCAATAAACTTGGATAATTTTGGTAGTTACATATTTGAATAAAAACATATTATAAAAGTTAAGCTTATGTGTTTCGTTTAGTTATCTGTAAAATGTACAAATGTCGTCTATATTCCACTTCTCATTTGAGAACATTTCGAACGTATGAATAAATTATAAAATTAAACTTGAATTTAGCCTTTGAAGTGCTGATAATTTATCCATGATACACTGTTTACATGCATATCCATCATTTTTATGCTCCTTTTGTTCCGAAAAAGGCTTAGTATCTAAACTACTTATTAATCTTTATTAATTAAGTTGCCATTTCAGCGCATCAATTCAAAATAATACACACATTCGATTGTCCACACCTTTTACTTGTTCCCTTTATAAATGAAGCTGGTGTCATTATCACTTGCCATTTCAGACCTTTTATTTCCCATTGTTGTATTTCTTTTCTTTCCTATCGCAGTAGTAAATTTTTTTGCCATGTTCCATGAAAATGTTAGGTTCTCTTGATGACATTAAATATCCATTGAGTTGCTTTTAACATGACATTCCACTCAGACCTTAATCAGCAATAAAGGTTCGCATTACGTCAATGTCCTCGACAGCTCGTAACCTCAACATCATATAAATTCGCACGGGAAATGTAATAGAATGTTGGGTTCTCATTAAATAAATTTGGGACTTCTGTTTCATCGTTATGCTGCACACAATTACCTAAAATCCATGTTTTCAACAGGAGATACTGTCCATGCGGTATACACCACATTATGGAAGTTTAAGCCAGCCCGGGAATCTGCAAAGACGATTAAAGTGAATTAAGTACCACACATTTGGGGCATGTTTCGACATTCAACATCGGCCAAACTAAGATGCATGTGCTTCCACTGACTTATAAGCAGAACCCGGGTATTCGTCGTTTCCCACGTCGATCATCATCCTTTCTTGTGGTGACCATTCCGAATTCACCACCCGAATTCGGTAACGCCGCTACTGCACTTTTAGATTCTACTATTTTTAGCTGCACGGACAGTTAAATCCACCTTAAATGTTTAATGAACTCTCCAGCGGATCTGTTTCGTAAGGCGTACGCTAAATAAGGACGTCAAAAAACCTGCCCTTATCCATAACTCGTCCATATTTCAAGTCCATTACCAGCATATACCACTTCTGTTGCTGTTCACCTTTAAGAATAACTGATCCGACCCTCGTAATGGATAAAATTCAAAAATTAAGTATAAACAATACTACATGTACTTTGGTCAAAGCTGCACTAATACCGGTAAAGCAATAAAAGTTCAAAAGCGACGAAACTTTGTTTCCACGATGTATTTTGAGGCCTTGCATTCGGACTTAGAGTCGTATTTGGAGTGACTCCTCTGACTTACAAAAAACGGCATGAATGGATAAACTATGGAATATGCAATAATTAGAAACGAACCTAAGCAAAGGCCATCGGCAAATTACCACCCTCAAAGCCCCTAATTGCGAAAATCAGGCTTGATTGCTGCTTCCATAAACTATAACCTAAAAGTGGACGGGGATCAAATAATATGTAATAAAAAAATGGTAATCATCGCCATTTAAAGGAAAATGATTTATAAATCTGAACAAGTAAGAAGTTGAGAATCATCAGAGAAAAAGTTTAGGCCAACGGGAAAGACAGAATACTTGTTTGAAGGACGAAGTGAGAACCACGTTAACTTAATCATGTAGGCGGAGACACATTGAGACAGTTTCCTGTTTAAAACCTTTTTTTCCATAAAAAGCGACCTTATCATGGTCACAGTCGAGGGATATTTTGTAGCAGCCTTGAGCCCGCCCAATTTCGACGAGTACGGTAATTAATCTGAAGTGCAAAATTATTTATATTTACCGAAATGAAGGACGACAATACGGGTACGATAATAAAATCAAGCGACTCAGAAAAGCCTGTTCGTGCTAACATCTTGATAATACAAGACCAGACACAATGAACATTCCAGGCGTACCCACTAAGCAAATTACCAGAAAACAGTAACAAATTGGTGGTCATATGTGCGTCTTTACCATAAAAAAGCAGAGATTCATGGAATGTTAAAAAGATGCTTTTGAAATCGAAAAGTGACAGGCAAATCCGATAAAGCTTTGCAGTGATCCTGTATTTTATTATCGTTCTAGTTACGAATTTACTGTAATTAAAGAAGCAAGAAAAGGTTTGACGCAAAAATGAAGTAAAACACGTAATTACAGAAATAGATGGATAGAAAAAACTAAAAAATATCTGATCGCGATTTTGCACATTTTACTAAATAAATCTTAGGACAACCTTGAAAGCAACAATGTTGCGCAAGAAGTACGTACAATTGCCCCAAACCTTTACCACGGAATGCCTCATCCACGACGACGTCCTCAATGTGACCACGCTAAAAGTGAACACATAAGATAAACTACGGGTGCAAACTTTGGAAAGTCCATGGATTACTTTTAATTCGACCAGCAAGGTGGCACATCCAACAATTCTATGGGTCTGAAGGTCCTCTAAAACAACTATGAAGTACGTATTTGGGCGTGAAAAAAACTCCTTGCAGCGACCTTAAGAATATGTGAGAACGTCATTAAGCACCTTCAAGTGCATCTGGGGACACGTTTCCAACAACTGTTAGCTGCTTTAAAAGACGCAGGTAATCTGAAGAAATATGAAGGAAAGAATCCATACCCAAATCCGTTGATTTCAACGGTCGTAGTAACAAACCGCTTTTGACATCAAAAGGATCAAGAGTCACTCCCTTCTCCTCCAATGCTGACCCTAACTTCAACCCCCTCAAGACTTCAGGATCGAAAACCTCAGCCATCGACGCAGACACTATGCGAAGAATTTCAATATTTGATTGGTCAATCGAGTTAGAAATTCTAATTTGGGAATGAGTGCATGTATTTGATCTAATCAGAGACTTTCAAAAAGATTCTGATGCCTCTTAAAAGCACAAACCAACTTATTGTAACAAATAGAACTATATAAGCGATATAGTAAACAATACTGTGATTAAACTAATAGTATTTGCATCAGAACCAGTTTTCGGAATGAACTCACGACAACACAATCCCAATTGCAGTGAACAGGAATCCTTTTTTTGTGGACCATTTTTTCATGTATGCAAAATGAAGTTAATGGCAAAATCTTCCCATTTAATTAATTTGCAAAGCTTTGGAGGGCAGCATATGCAGGTGAATCATATTTCAGTTTAATTTGATGCAATTATGCCGTCGCTGAATTCAAAGGAAATATTTTTGTTCAGTAACGGCTAACATTCGTAAGATTAATTTTTAACTTTGTTTCCTTTTGCTTTTTTTATATTGACCAAATTGACTTGTTGCGTAGCGAATCGTCACGATGAACCCAGGAGAGAAGAGCGTCAATTTCCATTATATGTCCTGGCTAACTAATTTCGGGCATTAAGCAATGGAATCAAAGTGGGCTGATAGAAATGTATATGAAGAAGTTCCAATGTGTGGTAGGAGAGGTAGAACATTTACATTTGTCCCTTATGTAGCTTCTGCTTGCTAATGAGTGTCTCTCCAAATACGTTCATTCAATGAACAGTGCATTTCAAAACCCCATATAAGCTACGAATTATACATCGTCACAATTTTCAACCTGCCCTTGCTCATTTAGTCAAACAGGCCATGGTGTGGAATTTTTCAAAGAATTAAAGTTTTGTAAATATGTGTAGCTAACTGTGGAGGTGTGTGCACATGTACGTAAGATTGGAAGGGTCCGCATTCGATATAAAGATGCTATGTATAAATTTGGCGCAACAGGGAATCTGGATGTGAATAAGGGTGATTTATTCCTAAATTTTTTAATTAGCAGTGACGATTCTTTAAATAATTTTGGCGAACTCGTGTCATAAATACTTAATTCAACTTCTCTATTTTGGTCCTTTCTAAATAGTACCTTGAGTCACATGGGCAAACGAAATTTACTTAACTTTATCAATCTAATTAATCAGTTGAGATCATTAAGCTTGATCACTTTCCTATCCGAAAATGCGAAATTGTCAGTTTGAGAAAAATTAGAAATCGTCGTTTTCGTGTCTTTATTTGAGAGTGTGACATTTCAAACTAATTTGAATCATCTTAAATGCCATAAATTCATAAAATGCGACTATTAAAGTTTTTTTCATCACGAGTTGAACGAGGCTCCTCGTAAATGCTTTTCGGTATCAAACCATTTTTTAAGCCTCGTTCTCAAATCCATCGACATACGCCCCTTTTCGTTGGAAAAGCAAGGTCGATGAATTCGACCTACTCCAAATATGGACTAGATTAATGTGATTCAAATAGTGGGTTTCCTATTTAAACTAACACAAATTGTAAGAAATGTTAGAAGTAAAACAGACATAACTACAAATTCATTTAACCGTCTCCAAGTGTTTCGAAAGTTTTTTAATATTATGCGAAATGATTAACTTCATTTCAAACCAAGTAGAAAATTGTTTTTCCATTTACCACAGAATCAAACTAGAGTATTATAGATTCAAAATAGTAAGCATGCTAAAACATAGGGAATACAGCGGAAACTACTATAGTGTATTTATAATTTTGTCGATGTTTGTGTCTGTCGAGTGAATTGTGGTGATGCTTTTTCATGTAGAAAATTTATTCCTTTTGATTGATAAAATTAAAATGCATACATTCGATTTTAGCACATTCTTTTACTTGAATTTTTATATAGCCGCATAAATGCCTCCCTAAAAGTTATTTGTAATATTCACATTCCGTCACCTTTATTTGAAGTAATGCAGAACCTGATATAGAATCTGTACTTTTGAATATATGCGTCCAGGTACCTCTTCCTAATATGTTGTTAGGACGTAAAAGGCAATACGTTGCTTTGAAACTTCGAAGGTTTTTCACGTTAAATTTAAAATACGGCAATTTAAATACTTTTTCAATATTAAGGATCTTGACGACGGGAATTCAATAGACACATCTTAGTCGAACCCATGAATGTAGGTTGCTGTTTATCGAGGGAATCTGTTCTATTTTCAAAACCTCTTGAATTATATCGGTGAATTAAGACCGTTGTATCTAGAGAGGCATTGGCAAATTTGGAAAGGCAGCAAGGACTTTTAAAAGCCAGCTGAACTTAAGTAGAGAAATAACTTCGATTAGCGAGGTGCCCATCTACATGAGCAGCCGTCTTTTGCATACTAAGTATTTAACCATCTTGCATGATAGGTGCTAGGTAATAGGAAATAAATAGTAAAATTTTTATCGTTAATCTCAATAAGACACTGCAAGAAACCAAGCCATAAACAGAAGATAGCTGATGCCCTGGAAGAAAAGGCAGTAGAGTGTGTAGGATACAGCCATTTCGAATGATGGTGAGCTTAGTCGATCTTTTGTCGATGGCATTTGAACCCCCTATGCAGGTCAGCAGCACAAGTAGAGAGATGTTTGGACAAGTATCCAAATAAAATAAGCGCTAGAGCTTGTGCACAGTAGTCGGTAAGGCGGTGTCTGGTTGATGATTTTGGCTTGTGGTGGCTTAAAAATTTTTTTTCTGTTATTGCTGTTTTCTTCAAATTACGAATTAGGCAGTATATTACACAACTAACCGCACATGAATAGGTCGCTTCATCTATTGATGTTTCGCGTTCTTACGGTCGGGTGAGAAATATCTGCATTGCATGTCAATAAAAATTATAAATGAACTATTTTTTGATTTATCTAAATGGTATGCAGTCTGATATTTGTAATCAGGCTGTAATAATATTTGAGATGATTAATGATACAGATTAAAACGCAAGGTCACGCATGAAATACCGGTCAGGTAAGTTCATTGTTCATGAAGCCTGGCAGGTTTGATTTTGTGGGGAATTAGTTTGGGGTTGGTCATGGTTTTACTGACAATAAATGCACTGAGTTATTTTTGCACTTACTGATTTGACAAAGTGGTTTGATTACTATTGGTTAGCTTTGCAAATAACTGTCTGTATTACATCATTCACAGTCTCAGATATATCTTTAATTTCAAGCTCTTTAATGTGCGTGTACGACTTTTCCTTGTCTCAATGTTCATGTATAACACCTTGCAGTATACTTTTTTGACGTCCTTAGACCGAATTGCTTCTTTCTTACTCATTCAAAGTGTCAATGGTCCTTGTTAACATCGTGGCCAGATGCGATCCCTTTTGAATGTACTTATCACGACTATCGTCCTTGCATCCATCGCACGTATTGATAACGTTTTTTGTTGCCTTGAATGGATGCCTGGTCTAGGCGGAATTTACACCGAGATAAAATGTGTTGGGTTTACAAGAGCTCTTTCGAATAATGGTTTTTCACAATGTTCTCTTGCTCAGCATGCTTTATGCACTTACAATACTATTTGTCTAATCTGTCTTGCATCGCCTGTGCACTTTGTCACCGCGTTACCTAAATTCATTAGTTTGTTTTACTGAAAATGTTCTTTGGAAAAAGTAACATGCGAGCCAGGGTTTTCCTCTAGTCTTTCACAACTTTGTGACAATTTTGTGTGCAAGCACTCGTGTTTCATTTAAAAGTGCGAACCATGTTTTGAAGACATTGTTTTGCAATCTTTAATGGTGGTAGCTTTATTAACCGGTGTATCTGATTCTCTAGGCGATCGTATTTAATAGTTGCCTTTAGTACGCAACTCATTAGTCTAGTCTATTTAGTCATTCAAACTATTTAGTACGTTCAAACTTTTGATGTATTATTTGTGTAATAAACATGTATTCATTTACCCTGTTATCTCTTACCATGCATCTCAGAACGTCTACGTTCTAAAACCGACATTTTGCAATTATGCTATTAGTTCATCCGATTCCATGTGATATGCTTAAAAACTGCGTTTTTAGTGTTCCTCAATGAATTAACGTGCTTGAGCTCAAACTTGACGTCCTTTATTTGTCCATGAGGAAGTGGTTCTCTTTCTATTTTTCAGTGCCAACACAGCTGTAGCTTCTCATTGGTGATTAAAGAAATACGAAAATCAAGCAGTGATGTTAAAAGTTCTGCAACGTGTATCTCTTGAATTTGCGAATCAATCACAGGACTCCTTGAATCTCTTACAAGGCTTCGGTCGCCGTGAATTTTCGGTTCGCTCTGAATGGGCTCAGTCAGTTCAGCGAGTCATTGATTCCTGGTACTATGGTTTCGGCAGTCCCGCCGTGGCGGGGTTCCTTGAATCCTATGCACAAGATCGCAATGGCAACACAGTAGATACCTCGATGCACCACAATATTAGGGCGCAAATTCCAGATCTTGCCCGTACCATTCAGACTTGTCCTCTTCAGGATGTACGCATTGCCTGTCAGAGTATTCTTGAGGACATAAAAGTTAGTCGCGCTTTACTTAACTGGTCTTAAATAAGGTTTCGAAGTCGGGGTGATTTTAAATTATCATTTTTTCAACTAAATCTGCCTCTAACTGCGAATATCTATTGCGTTAATTACCATTTTATTCGGTCAAAACGTGTCATCTAACTAATCGCCTCAGCGGAACGAATTCACGTGTTTCCCAATGTGTCTTTTATGCTTAATCAATATCTTCTATTCTTGCATTTGTTGCTTTTAGTCTCATGTGGATATATTTTTTGTAGAAAAAGAAGCACTTCACCATCGACGTGCCTCTTCAGCCCTCTCCCTCTTTTTGCTTTTCCGTGGAGGATCTACCTCACCTTCGATGCCTATTTGAACAGCCGGTTGAAGATGACCCACTATTCACTGTAAGCAACTAACAAGCTAATTTATGAAAAGCGATGAAAGCTAAGTCATAGTTCCACTAATGAAAGAATCTACCTAAAGATTGATTGACTGAATAAACCCAGCCAGCTTTTCTATTAACGATTACAATTTTGCGAAACTCAGCACCATTTTTCATCTGATTTAACTTATTTTATTGTTATTTTTGTCTTCGAGTCCCTCCTTCTCATTCTGCTAGAAATATAAGCAACTGTGGACCAACTATTTGTTGAAAACGTTGTGGCAACATTCTGGAAACCAACAGCTCAGCCTTGCGTTTTAGCGCGTTTTGGTGTATGCTCTGTAGGGTTACCTCAGCATCTATTTGTTACCGTGTAGTTCGCATTCTTTGTCTTTGTACTGAGTACAATTGTAGTCAGTATTACTCTTTATTACGGTCCTCCATATCTCTCCACGCAAGGGCCTCAGTGAACCAAAGGGATCATTTAAATGGCTTTTACCTGCTAAATCGTCCTAACTTCTTCGCATTATTTCTTTTAACCTTAATAAACAGCAGGTCGAGCAAATCACTGCCCTTTCGTCCGTGGCCCATAACTCTGAATTTGCAATTTTCACATTCAAATGCCCAATTACACTATCCAGAGTATTGGAGCTTGGAACATCTTGTTCCTTAATGCCTGTATTTATCATGGAAATACATGGAATCGAATCGCCTTGTTCTATACAATGTTTCTGTCATAGTGGATCGCATTTGCAAATGGCATATCTCCTAAGACCCACATTAAATACCAAACGCCATACCTTCCCCTAATCTTCAGGTGACATTTTTACGTAATCAACGACTTGCAACCAATGCTGTGAAGCACTTTTCATCTTTAGCAGATTTATCTGAGAACCAGTCACCCTTAAGTTGATACAGTCTCTTCGATCTTTCGTATAACATAAATTATCTACACAATTATTCAATGCTATCTTCTGCACTCGCTATGCTATTTCAATCTCAACCTCTACCACACGTTCAACTTAAATTGTCAGTAGACGACTTACCAGTGTAACTTCCAACCACTTTCTTTACCATAAAAAGATTATATTAATTAGTCATCTGACTATTTCTCAATGCTATTCATGGTCGTTCACTTGGTGTTCGATTTAGGGTTGTTCTCAGCTCTGCAACAATTTTTGGCTACGCAACATCGATGTCGTGTGTCTGTACCAGCCAGCTCTTCGACCATCGATAACAATGATGCCTTGAGCTTGCTCGGGTTGAATCTGTTAGCGATTTTGTCTGAGTCTGACTTACGAACAAAGCAGCGTCAATTACCTCTCTCGGCCTTTAATAAATTTACGGTTTTTTCCTCTTGTGATGTATCACTCTTTTAGAATTACGTTCTGTTCTGCGAATATTGGTATCGTTGGTCTCGCCTGGATAACTTCATTCAGGTCCTTGGTTGCCACCCGGAATTTCTGGAGCCTTTCATGAAGGTTCATCAATGTCTCCTTACTGGGGACCTTTCTCTTCCGTACCCGGTCAGATATTATTTAGCCATTTTGGTAAGTTTCTCTTAATCGAAAATTTGTAACATTCTGTTGTTTTCGACTTTAAATACCACAAGGTTGTTTTGCTTTTAATTTATTTTGCGATTGATTGATCAATGCCTAACTTTCTCGTAAATATGGAATCAAAGCCAGAATCTATTGCTACAGAGGTAATGAAACGGTTGAATTCGCGCTCCTTTTTTCGATGCTTTTTGGACAAGTATGTCGCTATGGTACGACGTCAGCATGCACGCTGGAAGGCACTATCACGTGTCTCCGTGTGTGTTTGCTTACGCGTTACCCACGCGCTATTCAGGTCGCGTTTCGCTTCTAACTCCAAGCTGCTTGGTCGCATTCGCTCATTTGCGACATATCTTCTTGACACCGTTGCTTGATTTATGCTAGTATCTTGTGCTTCCGCACTTTTGAGCATTCTTTAAGTGATTCTACCACTCAATCCTTGCAATACGTTCTCTTCCTGTTGAGTTATAAGTGTCGCTTAAAAGGTTATGCCCTTTACAGTTCTAAACGTGCATTGGGGCCATCGAGAACTTAATAAGGCAGTTCTCCTAGACGCAGACGCTCCCAGTTTATTAGTTAAAGGTGCCTGTTTTCATGCAGCATTCATTTTTCCGAACTTGACTGAAAATTATTACTGGCTTACTTGTGAGGTGGGCTCCACGTCCCACAGCGTACAACCCTCTGGTGTCTAAAACTTTTTTCGTCTGATCACCACTTTTTAAAATTAAAATTATAGTAATTGGTCTCGAATCTCCTAAAATTTCATTTTACTCAAACAAATTAATTTAGCAAGTGTTTTCCAAATAAACTTGCTTTAGGCTGCAGCGGAGCTGCGTTGTCCTCAACTCGTGTGCTTGTTTGTGCGTTACTTTCTGCATGCGGGAGGGAACGCAGCCTGGTTGCAGGGTCTTTCTGAAGGCCCTTCTCGGTGGCTTCAACTGAGTGAACTCAACCACAATCTTGCTCATTCACCCTGGAAGATTTCCGCGGTAAGACGATGCTCTTTTTTCTCCATGCTTAGATCCCGTCAAGCGCTGTTGGTGGCACTAATGTTCCACCAAAAATTTAACATGGATTGCACCCTGTTATTCTTGGCCACAGTAACCACACAGCTCGATTAAAAGTTTTCCTTCTGTGAATGCTGTCCGCAGGCACATTACACAGTGACACGCCAAGCGGTCACATTTCACCTTGTTCGCCGCCTATAGTTTCACCAGCGTGTTTCAGTTAAACGATCAACAGTTCTCTCAATCTGAGCCTCGGACCTTGACTGTCATCTGTTTGGCAGGTCAGATCACTTCAATTTCATTTGCATCAGAACATATAAATAAGACGGTTAACATTCCGTAAACTTCATGTTCGTCAGTTTCGACCTACACATTTTCGCTACTCACCTTATCATCCGATTACCGCACCGCCGTATGTACCCTCGAAGGCAGTAAAATTGTCTTCTCTTACAGGACCACATTCATCGCCTGACCCGCGGTGACGAAGGTGTACGAGGCGACAAACTTTCGCTCTCTGAATTGATGCATGCAGTTGCCATAATGACTCATGTGCATTCCCTAGCATGTTTCATATTTGGTGCCGCCGTTCGACCTGAGCTGGAGCACATAAATTTCACAGCCTCGCCCTCCCCATGCTCCACTCAGCCTCTTGCGCTTGCTGTGTCTCAAGGTGCTGTCAGCGCCAGCCTTACGGTGAGTCATCCATTTGCAAACGCATGTTAATTTCATGCTGTCGGCTCCATCCCCTCGTGACCCTGCTCGGTCATCCTTTTCACACCGTCTTTACATTTCTCCCTGGGTTATGCATCTTGTCCTTATTATCCCAAACACTCCACCTATCCGTTTCTCTTCCTTGCTTTTTTACTCAATTCTCAAATCTTGTTCGTGTGCGTTCATATTTGCTCGTTTGTTGCTACTCAAACGCAAGTATTTATGAAGTCATTAAGGATCCGATTTTTCGCGTCATTCGCTTGAGGCTAAAACTACATCAAGGACTTCCCTCTTAACTGTACTCACTTGGATGTGTGCGGGGATCTTTTGTAGCCCACAGGCGATGAACAGGTGCACAAGGAACGCCAAGTCCAGGCCTCGGAGCAGCTTCTCAATCTGCTTCAGTCGGAAGCCTCCGGTGAATGGGACAATCATAATGAAGACGATGAGCTCACAGAAATCTTCCAGTCGTATGCTAAGTCCAACTCCGAGCGTAAGTCCCTTTCCATCTTCCTGTTTCAAAATGTCTTTCCGTAGCAGTCTCCTCCTGTCATGTTGTAATGCTCTCATTGGATACATGGTTTTGTTTGTTTTTCTTAAGACCTATTGAACAGGCATTTTCTTAGTGGCACTCGCTTTTTCCTGATATTTCTAATTCTGTAATTAATAACTAGATGATTCGTTACGCTCGTTCGCACCCTAGCTTTACCTTTTCGTGACTCAAGATCCGTGTTATTTATTGTTTATTCTCGCTCCACGAGGCGCATGTTCATAGTTTACTGATTGTGCATCAGCTGCGCTCATTTTTGACTTTACTTTCAACCATTTATTACACACACTCAGACTTTTACTCGACACCTCGACTGGGGTTTGTTCAGCGTATGTCTCCCCCACTTTTCGAATTTGCCTTTTGTCCCAGTTCTTATCTTGTTTAGACTTAGCGCCTTTATATTCCTACAACATTCTATTACTGTCATGTGAAGTAGGGTGTTTGTATCTGACTCGAAGTTTCGTTGTATCTAATTTCATCTTGGATACGTCAACAAAAGATAAACTGACTAAATCACCATCCCGGCCTTAGCTATAACATCTAATTTTGGCCGTTGTAGACAAATAAACAAAAAGTCGTGACTAAACCCACAATCTTTGGCTTAGGGTATCCGTAAAATTAAAAATATTCATTTTCAGGGCGTGAAGTGGTATACGATCCGTTAAACAGTATTGGCATTCTCCTACGTATTTGACGTTTAGCAACCACATTTAAGCATCATGAAGTTAACGAAATTAAAAGATCTCACTGTTTTCTCTTGTTAAGCTTTTACTGGTCGCTAAGTATCACCAAATTTTGAAATAAGACCACAGGCACAGATAAACAGTCTCCGTATCATGGTCACGTTTAAGGCGCACGAAACACTGCCTAGTCTTAAAATCGTCGTTTGCTTCCTGCTCCAATTGACCATTTGGATTCGCATCCCTAGTGACACCGCCACGACCCCAACACCCTATAAAGTATTTCAGGCTCATGTTTTCATGCGAATAAAACAGTTTATTGTTTAAATCGCCTGATTTGGACAATCCCGCGACTTTTCTCCCTCTTCGTCTATGTTATGTGAGGTTAGGCACGCACATGTGTGTATTCTTTGCCATGTCCCTTTGTACTGCACTTTCCTCGACTTGACTAGGCACCTGTCGGATTCCGTTTCGAAAGTGTACTCGCTCCCTGCTTCTGTCGTCAATTTATTACAAAACATTTTTTTATATGGGTTACAGCAAAAAATAATACGAGCAACAGAGTCTACTATCTCACGTACTCAATACGAAAACAGGATATTTGGGAGCAAGTGCTAATGCTTATATGCTTGTTGGAAACTGGGTAGTCGTTGTTAAGACTACCTTGCATGCATCAAGGGCCTTTTCACATTCGAACTCCATTCAACAGCAGAAATAATTCGAGCGGCCATTCTGCAAGATTCTACTAAACAACGCCACGTAATCCGTCCTGTTTCGTTCTTCTGGCCTAGAAATCATGTAGCAAGCATTTTATCCTCATGTTAACCATCTGAATCTGGCATAAATTCCTTTTAACCTCCTTGTCCATTGTTAGAAATAAGGTTTTCCCTCTCGCCTATTATTGCACTCCATTCTTCGATAGGCTTGCAGTTGTAAAAGATATACCTGAGCTTTATTGTGAGATTAAAATCGCGTGTTTTACTCCAGGTTTGCTTTTGCAAGTACCACATGATGATAATTAGATGTCCCCAAAGACCAATGGCCGCAAACCTCAGTGATTCTGCTGAATTTGAAGCCTTTCATGGCCTGAAATTCTTTATCAATTTGTTTTTCAGGCAATATCCAGGCACCTAGCACACACTGCAAAGGTGTGGTTTTGAAGAGCAAGATACATGTTGGCTAACCTTATTCCATCTCAAGCTAGCCTTTTGCGCTCGCTTTAATTAGCAAGTAGGCATTTGCGCCCACACGCTATTTTCGTTAGTTTTTTGTTCAGTGACAAAAGCAGCAACTCCATCTTCATGCTCTATCTATAAACTGCACATAAAGATTACTTTCAAGTCTGAGCACAATGACAATTACAGTGTTTGACCATTTTCTTGGGCGTGTCACTCAATGACCAACTAACACTTATTCACAATTTCTGCAAATGTGTGTAGCCTCATTTCAATCCGGACATTGTATTTTATCCAGAGCAAATGTAGTCGTGGGTGTTTTTTGACAATTGGAAACCGGAGACGCGGATCAGGTGCTATCTACACAAACGACCATCTTGACGTCTGGCCTTCTTTTCCACGGTTCTGGGTTGAATAAACTGCAGCATGTCTCCTTTGTCCGTACTAAACGCAATGGTTCCTTTTTGTTCTGATTTGATTATCTTCCTTATTCAAATCCTATCCTTAGTAGTTTCTGCCAATTTTGGAGCAGGTACACTAATGTAACGGCTTATCCGAAGTCACATCCGTCCCGATGCACTTTGTCTGAAATGCCTGAAACTAATCAATCATTTGGTTTATGTTCTTCTTAAAGTCGCAAATTCAAATTCTTGCTGCTGGTGTTGATTGGCCTTCAGCGACGATAGAAACAAATTCAGGCGTCCTCAGCGATGCTGACACGCCAACCAACGCTCGTTGTGTTGTGTGCGCGCCATGGCAGTGTTGTTGGTTAGACCGCAACCCAGTTGTCTGCGTCCAGCGACCCCACCGCATGCATCAATCAAGTTTTCAACATCCAAAATATTGGAGCCTTAATGAAGCGTAACTGAGCGCCTCAAGTATTTTATGGTCCGCAAAATAAATGTTAGAAGTTCTTTTATGCTTAAAGAGTCTAGTGACTTCTCAACCAAGACTTGAGACCGATAGTAATGCAACGTTGTCCCTGGGCTGTTCAATTGTAAATTTTCTACTTGAAGTCGGAATGACCTTGGTGTTAGATCACGTTTGAGAATGTCGCACTGGCAAAATGTTGGTTCAGTTTTCCTAGCTACTCAATTTGCAATCTACGACAACGCCTTCTAGTCTGGCAAACTAGCTGCTTAAGTAGCGGATTTTGTTACACTTCAGTAATGCACGAAGACAGTTTGATTTTGCCGCCTGTCCCGTCTCATGAAGAGAGTTTATTGCGTCAAGTGCCCCTCACGTGGTTGATATTTGCTATTTTGATGTGCGTATCCCAACACGGCTAGTGCTGGATTCCTATTTACGGTATACGGAAGGCATCTGGGAAACTGGGAATTTGATCTGCATCATGCACTTTTTCTACTCCTTTTGTTAACGGCCATCTGTCTTGCACATGGGCACGCATGAATTACACGTGTTCCCGTTATTCTGCGTCTTTTTTACTCGATGTAATGCAAGACTTTGGTTGTGAAATGTGAACAAGTAATCATACTACCCCCGTGATTTTGTTGCTACTTATCTATACTTGTCAAGCTTCTTTTTCAATTTCACTCTCAAAATCAAACTTGGCGACTGATTTTTAAGTGTGTGTGTGTGTGGTGTGTGTGATCTGGCCCCGTGTTTCTAAAGCGGCCATGCTGTCTGGCGTTTTTACTCTGTTCAATGACCCACTTGTTTGGGCTAATGGTCATACTAACCAAATTAGAGCATTGCTTTCTTACGTATACGCAAGATGCACTTTCATCGCGTGCGTTATTTTGCTGCTTCAATAGCAATCATATCCTATGTTTTTATTTCTTTGTGGGTGCTGATTTGCCATGCATAATTTATTTGTAAGTAAAATTTTAGTAGCAATATTGTTGTGCTTCTTACAACCTAAGTTACATAATTCCCATATGGGCTCGACTGGAACCTGGCAACATTTTTTTGGGCGACTCTTCCGACAAGCCTATTGTCTTTTTTTTTTAACTATGAATGACGTTACCGTAGTTAGTCGTAGCTTTTGGCCTTTGCTTTTTGTCACACTTGGCGTCGCGTTCACTGCGTCCATGAAAACTCCAGGCAAATCGCTTGGGACAGAACCGAACTCCCTCGCCCACTTTGCACTAATGCTGTTGTGTCGACCACATGGTGTTTAGTACTCGCCTCTGTTATCGTTTAAAGTCGTTTCTGCCCGAAACCACACTCCTGTAAGGTTCGCCTAACTTATTGAACATGTTTGAAACTTTTCTTCTACGTTGTAAGGCCTATAATTTTCTCGGTTAATCTTTCTTAAGTTGGCTTGCGCATACCCGTCCAGAAAACCCAGCCTGATTTGTTAAAAAATTTAAGTTTTTGTTTACTTAAGTAACCCTCCCCAGCGTTTACGCATCAGTTGACGTGCCGGACGGCTTCTCAATGAGCAGACATCCGGTTGTCGAGAAGTTCCTCGGTTCTCCCGAAAACGCCTTCGTAGATTTCTCGGGTATCCCATTGTTGGTCTCGGTGAGATGTCTTGCCTCTTTCGTCCCTTACCTAGTCATTCCGAATCCATTAATTTTTGTAGTGATTATTTTGTGATATACTTTTGATGTCATGTTGGTACATGTTTGGTTTACTTGTCGTATTGTGTTCGCCTGCTGGTTAATATTTCAGTTTTTATTATAAAGAAACACCAGGATTACGGTTGTCTTTTCTCACATGTAACCAAAACAAAGCCTCATCCGTTCGCCGTTTTATGAGGATTCAGTACGTTTTACTTGGCACGTTTTTGTGTCTTGTAGACGAAAGGTATATAAAAAAATAAAAGTAAAATTTGATAAATTCTGTTCACTGAATATTCGTGTATTCCCCATAACTCCAGCTACGGTCGCATTTTCAACACTAGAATTTCACTTTTGCGTCATTTTGATATGACTAGTTTTAGTTCAAACCACCAGACATTTTCAAATCATCACTTCCTGTTGGCTTTTTCGGTGCTGTTAACATGTAAATGAGTTTATCATTCTGAATTGTGGCGGGTGCAAATATGTGCAACCCATGATTTGTCCATGCAGACATTTTGTTATTTGCCGACCGCTTTTCTAGATCCCAAATGTAATATTTTCGTTGCATCAATAAATTTCGATTTAAATATTGTTATTGTCCACATAATTGCGTTTATTTATTCGTTTATGTACTTCCGATCACTCTTGTAATGCGTCTAAAGTATTATTTAAAAAAAAAGACGTAGCGCAGTGTTTTTGGCCGCTGCCTAAGTACGTCTAATCGGGTATCAAAGTGAATTCTTTATCGGCGTTGTTTCAGTGGTTCTCGGGTGTGGTAAGTTAAAGTATTTCAAACCTGTCCGAAGCTATGTCGCCTTAAATCCATTTATCACAATCCTTCTGAGGCATTCTCTGGTGCTTTAAATGTGTCCCCCTTTCCTTTCCTACTTGATTTTACCATAGAAGATTTCCCTGCCAACATTCCTTATCTAGGACCGTCTTCAGCGAAAACTCGTGTTTGGGTGCTCTCTCTCGTTGGATACAGTCGTTTTTAGAAAATAAACCAAAACCCCAGTGATCAATTACTAAACCTTGTATTTCAATAAACTCGCAGATTTGGGTAAACTGTCAAGCTACTTGTGTGTGCAGTAAGCTTAAACGGACCGGCGGGTCAAAATTTCCTGTTGAGCTTTAATCCTCTTCATAAAATTTAATCAAAACTGTGACGCCTTGTAAATGAAGAATCATCTGAAAGTATTAGCTACGGTTTGTAGTATTCACCAGACTAGAACGTGCTGCTATGTCTTTCTTCATCTGACATTACTAAGTTGCTTTGGTTATTTGAAAGGGCGTTCGCGCGCCCACCTAGATCAGAATATTTATTTTGCGTTCAAAACTAGGTAAACTCCACCTTACCTTCTATTTGAATTTTGCCTCCAGGAGTTTTCGTGGATGGAGGAGGGATGTCCTCTGGTGGATCATCTGGCAAGCACCCTGGGGACACTTCTTGATGATACGTTTCAAAATGCATTTGACCTTACTTACAACACGTGAGATTTTCCTTTCCGTCGTTATTTGGTCTTCTCGTAGTCTTGTGTATCACGTATTGGAACGTTTTGTCAGATTTGTCGTTGTTTGCAGTCTGACATTGCGCAGTGTGCAAGATCCATTAGCAAGACGCGTCAAGGTAACGTGTATGCCTTTTTGTACTTAGGTTGAATGAATACAATGACGTCAATACTTCATGTTTCCGCCACACACTCTGGTTCTTCGTGCAAAGTCTGTTTGGTGTTTGCCACGAGGACCTTCGTTTTGACCGCGTAGTCAAATTGCTATCCATAGAACAGCGTTCTTTCATTAAGAGCTGTGCCACACGTCCCTTCGACCTTGTTGCTTATGAGCCCACCGCGTGTCGTACTATCTTCGCAGCGCTCAGCCCCTCTGAAGTCGTAAGTGGCTGGTCTGATATTCCACCCTCGTTGCATTGTTCGATAATATAGGCGTGTACAATTATTATTTCCTACTGTACATTAATGAGTACCTATTTTGTTCCAGGTCCATATCTTAATAATGATCATGGAATCACGACAACAGGCCTGTCTTTCCTACGCCTTACGTGCAATTTCACAGTGCCAAACGCGCCGATGATAGATTTAACGCTTCTACTTCCTTCCACATCAAAAAAAATACTTACGAGGCCTCAGGAACCCACAACCTACTCCATTTTCGCTAGCAAACTCGCTTTCCCATTGCATTTCTCTCCTCCCCACTAAGGCTTTAGCCCTACTTGACTAGCCCTGCATCTCAGGCATTTACAGGCACGCCATCTCACCCAAGATTGGGCCTTTAACCCTCACCCAAATATTTGCCTTTTGTATCCGGGGGCACTTGCCCTAATTCTGCCGTTGCCCAAGATTGTTTTGTGTGCGTGAATTTGAATTAAATCTACAACAAGCAATATGGAAGTGTTGCGAATTTTGCTCGACTGGAACTGATTTGTAATCTTAGTGGTAGTTTTCAACATAGGTTAGGGATTTTAGAGGCCATTATTCGCCAAAAGTCCCGTGCCCTTTGTGTCGCGTCCAAACACTCCTGACGGTGTGTGCGTGCCTTCTTTTTTTAAAGTGTTGGTTTTTTTTCACTTCCACAATGAAATTACGACTTAGGAAGGCAACACATGAGCTTGTTTCCGCCTTTAAACTTCGGCCTCTTAAACAGCTTTGTAGACGTTTGTTGCTAGGAGAAAATTGTTGCAAAAATGATTATGTCGGCCTCCCTAATGACTTGTGCACGTCGTTCTAGCACGTTTCGACGCCGGCCTCTGTAACCGAGGTGAATTCTGCTTCAGTCGGATGCGACTTGTTTGTCTTGACATTGTCCTTCTTTCGACAAAAAGCCTACGATTTTGACTCGAATACGCTGTATTTGCTAACGTGTGACCGACATTGCCTTCATAATTGCCTCAATACCTGTCTTCGAGGACTTTATGAGAGGGTAGTGCTTTTACTTGAGTTTATCATGTATTTGGTGCCTTGACACTGTCATAGTATACTCAACGGAATCGATCTTGTTCTTTGTACATGCGAGGCACCTATGGCCTAGTTATCGTCCCGGTTTTCCTCCACGCTCGGATTTCGAGGTAGTTCGGAAGTCTTTGCTGTCCTTGATTATGATTTTATACGACACAAACAACTTTTGGTAGTTGTGTGTGTGCGTGTGTGCAGCCTTCAAGGCTCTTTGTCCCTGTCGCGGAACAACTGGTCTCATTTGGATGTTGTTGTGACAGGATCCTTGGCAAACTCACGGGATCCGGGTGAACGGTAGCCTGGACCACTGTTTACACTCGTATCGAAGAGTCGAACTTGGCTTAAACGGTACTTTTTGACCTCGCAGCAATTTCCTTGGATATCCTTGATTTTCATTTAAAGGGTCCGATCTTTGAACATCTTGATGCAAACAGTGTGGACCGGAATTCGTGCCCAACCGATCATCTCAGCCACTAAATGCTCGTCACTTCAGTTTACAATTTGTCAAACAGGCCGTGAATATCGCATACATCGGTGATACTTTTTGTGATCTCCTCAGCCCACGCAATTACCCTGGTTTGCATTGATGCGAATTTCGTTAAAAAATAGGACAAATTGACGAGACCTTCAAGCACATTAGAACGCATCCAATAATCAACAAGCCCTCTAGACCTTTTAGCAATCTGACTTCAGTTAGTTTTTAAAAATGGTCTTGAAAAGGTGAGGACACCAGCTGATCCAGTTAAAGTGGTTGACGTTGCTTGGAAAAAAGCTAGAATCTACTTGGTCAGAAAGATTTTGACAATTTGAGACAACTGTGAGGTATCTTATTTGGAAAAGGAAACATTTGTGATATTTTGGAAAAAAATGACGGACAAAAGCTTAGTTTGTGTCCAGTGAAACCCTTGTAAGTTGTGTGCATTGCTTTGCGTTAAATGAATTATCTGAAATAGGTATCCAGACCTGTGAGTTGGTGGCGATGCGAACAAAGTCTTAGAGCAGCATAACTTGGTCAGAAGTTCGCATCGTGAATGATCAGGTTCATCTTTAAATGTAAAAGCTAGCTATGAGTCAAATTGAATTAGTGGAAAGTGCTTCTTTCGAACTATTTTATGAAATTGTACCTGAATATAAACACTTGCAAACCGCTTACCTGGGAAGTGAACAAACTTAGGCGAATTCAATAGCCTAGGTTAAAGTAGCTGGACTGGGTGTGGTCTTTACTTTATGTCTGTAAGTTTTGATCCAAGCTGTAGAGTCTGCAAAAGCCGTTATATCATTGGGTATTAGTTATTTTGATAAATGAAAAATAAAGCTACGTTGCGTACAGTAACGGCCAATCGATACCGTTTAAGTGGTGCTAGGTTTCCTCCCTTAAACTGACTGCAATACTAATACATTTGCACGGTTCCAGGCACCCCTTGCACGCAAATTGTCTGCGCATTCGGATATTATTGGCAACCTTTTAACCAATGAATTACTCTTACCTTTATGAGGTCAATGGGTACTAAAACAAGTGACATGAAGCAGCGATTAGTATGACCGTCTGCGCCGAGGGTGCAATTATGCACCACTAGAACAAATTTTTCGGAATGGCGCTGACTTTCGGACAGTTACTGGGATGGAATGAGGTCGTCTTGCTAAATCAGCAAACACTTGAAATAGATTTGTTCCTCTCGGTAAAGTCACTGCCACGAAGATTTCAACAATGGATAAGAATTGCTATGCGTATGACCTGGAGCTACGCAATGCTGGCTACACTTTTGTGCCATCCATTAATTTACAGCCTCTTTTTCAACCGTAGTATGTGAGAGAACAGGCATTTTCCTTTTGGATGTGACCTGTTTCCCTTGCAGAAGTGAGGTAACTTAATTAGAAACACCATATTGCAAATGCGTAAATCTATGAACTCCAATCTCCACTCTTGGCATTATTCCAGTCTCCACCGTAATCAAATTCCATACTCTTAATGCTTTATCCAAATAACGTAACGTATTCGACATCCACAGCTCCATAAACTTCCCTATACTCTTGTAGGCCAACAGACAAAATTCCACCATTTAGCGTTCTTATGGTTTATAAAGTAAGATATTGCAAGTAGATCATTTATTAAGTTGTAGAGTCGCGGTCCTGTAAATTAATAACTTGAAAGACTTACAATGCCTCTGGGGCAGCTGAGCTCCCTCCATCATGAGCAAACTGCCAAGGTGTTACTATTCAAAGGTTGATTAGTGAGGGAATTTTTGCCAGAACCAAAAAAACATAACCTGAGCCTGGCAGAGTCGATGGTTTGTTTTTGCGTGATGAGCAATATGTAAACTGCATGCAATACCTGGCGAAATTCAGTTTGAAATGATGAGGAAAATATATAATTTGTCAAGTTTATTGACGGTGTATCAGCCAGCACTAATGAATTGGCACTAATCAAAGTTATTTAACATTAAAGCCGGTACACAAAAATTCACAAATGAAAAGCGAAAGGTTATGGCGGAATGAACGTAGACTTTTGATCCTACTATTTCCGTAAACTCCAAATAAGCTTGGAATCCCGTGACCGTAAAGTCACACACGCCGATTAGCAGCAAGCATAAATAACTCGTCCGCTGCCGATTGGCTCGGGACGTGCATGTTTAACCAACGTTTGGCCAATAAGCGCACGAATTAAACTCAGCGCTTACGTGCCACGTACCTTCTGTTCAAACTTCCCTTCGCAATGTCATCTCCACCATCCGGTCTGCCGTCCCGCTCCCATCGAGATTCTACTCGTAGCAATTCAGATATTGAGGATTACTTTACGGGGGCCAAACGACGCGTTCTGCTGTCTGTTGACTGCAGCGAAAGTAGCAGTCGTGCCTTCGAGTGGTATTCCAACAACTTCGCCAAAGAGGGTGACGGCCTCCTCCTTGTTCACGTGGTAGAACCAGTCAGTACAGGCATCAACTACGGCCTTGTAACAAAGCCTGCCCTCCTAACCGAGGACTTCAACAAACACCTCCAGGAATTGGTTGACGAAGGACGAAAGTTGGGTAAAACATATCTCCAGAAGTGCAAAGGAACTGGAATACAAGCAAGGTTCATTCTTCACATCGGCGCAAAGCCTGGCGAGCACATCTGTCATCTAGCAAAAGAATTGCAGATTGACTCGATCGTCATGGGGAGTCGTGGAATAGGAAAGATCCGCCGAACCCTCTTAGGTAGTGTCACAGATTACGTCATTCACCACGCTGGCAGACCGGTTGTAGTCATTCCCCCACCAAAAAGAGATACGGTCGACGCTCACGCAAACGAGGCCTCTGGTGATACCCCACGTAAACAATCTGCAGCATAACATTGTTAAAGTACTCTTTGTCTTTCCCTCGTTCCATGCCCTTGTTTATTGGCACTTGATCCAATTCTGTCGTGTTTTTTTAAGATCTAGTATTCATCTAAACATTGTCAATAAGCTTGAAATGGGAATTTTATTTAGCAGTAAAATTCTGGAAATGCCCTGTTTAAAAGATGTAGCAATTTTTGCGCCAATACTTTGGGGCTATAAATCATTGAATTGTCCAAAATTGCTCCCAGTTTGGCCGTTTCCACAACCTCAACTTCCGAAAACATTAGGGTCAAACCAGGGTGTTGACGCTTTTGTGAACTTCGTCAGTGAAAGGTGTCTTAATTCAGTACAAGTCTTGTTGTGGTAAGATTCTTGGTACGATATTCCTGAAATACGCTAAATTGTATTCTACTTGACATATTATTTTTATTCCTTCTCCGTACAAATGCGATTGTCACAACCGTAGGTAAACACCTGGGTCTCTGGCAAATTCTTGGCAAATTCTAGGAATTGGCTCTTTCACGTTTGTTAGCAAAGTTCGTTAGGGAAACCAAATGTTGCACCGTACAAACGGTTAAATTTGCAATCTAGTTTGGCAGCTTTTTGAATATACTGTGGCACACACCAGTATCCTTTCTCCAATGATGTAATAGATCTTTAGAAAATCACGCATGAGAAGTAAATGCTTATGTAATTAACATTTAGTTATATAAAAGAGTGATAAGATGGTCTGAACTGAAGACATGATGCCAGAAAATGTCAAAGTTTTCGAATAGCGGAGATTAATTGGGAATTTATCAACTTATGGAATCTACAAATACAAGTTTGACATGCACTCAAATAAATTGCATAAGATCCATGATTCTGTGCGTCTCTGGTTAATGACTGCATTTCGCGAAGTGTGTATACGTCTCTTGCAGACTGTTACAGCCGTGCACTCAGGCAATTACCAAAGTAGCCACACTAAATCTCTCTGGCCTTCTTTCCTATGTGGCAAACGATTACCATAGTGCACAGCTTCTTTTGAGATCGTGGATGCTTAAGTTAGAAGTTGTTGCCAATGTAGTAATTAAATGTCCAATATTTTTAATCGATGTTGTAATTATACGATACGAACTGACTGAGCAAGAACAGCATACAAGGGCCAAATCAAGATTTAGTCAGATTTGCAAAAATGCTGCTCTCTAAAAACAACATCGTAAATATTAGAAAGCAAAATGATCATTTTAGTCATTTGCCATGGATAGCTAGTAATATATCGTTAACAGTGTTTTGTAGTTATACGATCTTCAGTAAAATGGAAGCAGTGATCTAGCCGCTCTTAGAAACGTGTAACATTACGTAGAGTTGTGACTCTCTCTGACTAAATGCCCTAACTTGTGCGTCTTAGAGATCGAATTAACTGTCTGGGAAATTTTTAAATGCAGAAAATTAAACTGCTTTTTTGCAAATATCAGGCCGGTGTAAAAATGATATCAAAAAACAAATTAAAAAATCAAATTCAGTGATGTTTATCCGCAGATATTACCTCCGTTGAAATTAGTGTAAATCTAATAATCTAATATCCAGAACAATAATAAATGAAAAAATTATTGCCGATGACATATATGCAACAGCTGCAATATATTATAAGCAATATTTTTGAAACGTCCTCATTATTGTGTGCAAGGTAAAGAAATTGACATAATCGAAGAACTAAAACCCCTATACTTGAAATTATCAGGTTGGTGCAGAAGTAATGTCCACTGGTAATTATGTTTCATATAGCGGACCGGGTTACTTTCCTTGTTTTTGACTATGACTTTTTCAAAAAAGGTATTTCCAAAGGATAACTCTCTACTACTTAGCAGATTCCTAATGTTTACTTATAACTCTCAACCTGACCACCCACCAGCCCCGCAACGCTTAAAGTCACATTACAGGGCCTCTTCGCTTTCTGGTTGCCAGGATGCATACTGGTACCGTAAAATCATCGGAGTGCGGCTCTGAAGTGTCAGCTATCATGTACCCATGCTGCTTCATCCTCACACAAAACGGTCACAAAACAAGGATATTCGGAATCAGTGACGACTTCTACTAACATGCAAACAAGCCACCGACTTTTTCTTTAAGATGTATCAACCGGTACCTGATTTCTGACAGACTCATGGCCGACAAGGCCTTTGACCCTTCAGCACTCAAGAAACGGTTTCCTAACCCCATAATGTTCGACCTTGCGTTCCGGGATTTCACAACCGCGTTAGCAACCAATTCGGACATTGGCGCTCACCTACTGAACTACGTGGCCTCCGTTTTGACCTCAAAATCAGAGACTTATTGATCCTAATGCCCTTCACTTCAAACACCTACAGTTATTCATGATGCAGCGCTGGTGTTTACCTCTGCATATATTTAACCTTACTGAGGAAATACCTAGATCTAAATCACCCAACGCACAGGCAGGCCGAAATCCGGCACTTGGTCATGCATAAAATCATGACAAATGGTCGCCCCATTAATGCCTCAGTGCATCGGCTTTCTCCCACTTTACGCTCGACAGGTAAATGGGAGTTTGTACGCATGCTGCAACCCAGAATAGTCCGATGATCTGACATCGAATGGTCATCGGTGTTTCACGTGGTTCTCAAGAAAACTGTTGGTAAGTGGAGTCCATGTTTTGAACACACTCGCTATGCCTGGTAGCTGCCCTAGATTATACCTCCATGAATTTTTCGCAAGTCTGTGTTTTCCAGGTTAGATTTGGTAAGAATGCATTGGAAGCCCTTAGTACAATGATTTAACATTCCAAAGAGCTCTTGTAGCACTATTCGACTTTTTTAAATTCTTGCGAATGTTTTTTTTTAGCTTATGAAATGCGGTTTAAACATTCCAAAGTTTAATCCACCACGTCTCAGTGCATTCATTTCTACCATCAATCAATCAAAGTGCATTTTCTCTACAGATTAAAGACCTACCGACATTAAGACTAAGAAGATTCACTAAATCCGACACTGACTTCTATCAATCGGCCTCAAGGTTTTCGGACACAAATACTTTTACAATCGATTTCTTCTGGTTGGTTGGCCAAAAGTAGATATAAAATCTTAACGTGACGAGCGATGCTCATAAAGCCTTCATAACAGCAAATAAGGCTCTGGGGAAGATTAGCACACTTGTTTGCCCGTGATTGGACGGCCTTTGGTTCTTTTTAACAAGTGCGTCTCGGCATCTGGTGCAAGCTTACAGCAAACCGTCAACAGAGCAGCGCAGGCGCCAGCTTACGCCTCAGGCAAGTTAAATGAAGCTCAAAAGCGTTATAGCACCCTTAACCGTGAATTTCCGGCCATTTACTTCGGTGTCATACACTCCAGACATCATCTTGAAAGCCAAAAGTTTATGATCTACATCGACCACAAACTCCTGACTTATGCCAATCTTTGGAGTTCCGATCGACTCTTACCAAGTGAGTAGCGACACTTGGACAATACAAAAACCGATGCACTCTCATTAGCACACCGATATAGTAAACACGCGCACGCATCGATTTCGATAATATGCCGACCGCTCTTCAATTAGGCAAATGATACGGGAATTTCTTATAAAAAGACAGCTTTAAAGCTGGTCAGTGTCCTCCTCTTTACATCCGCAAGCACCATTATCTGCAAAATTCAGTTGGGGGACATTGCCGTTTATTTCGGCTTTGACACGCCATCAAGTGTTCCAAAATCTTTACCGCCTTGTTAATCATGGTCAACAGGCAACAAGGAAGCTGACATTTGGCCGTTATGTGTGTCCTGCCATGAATCGAGAAATTCAGCAGTAGACATAACGTTGAGTAAGCTGTGAACTATCCAAGTTAGAAAAGCATCGCAAGACCTCCCTGTGCAGTTTAACGTTCCTGATCCAGTGTTTGATTACGTCAACGTTGATGTTTCTGGATTCGTACTTCTCTCAGTAGGTTTTGATAACCCGTTAGATTGTGTCGACCGTTAAATTCAATCGCAAGATGCTTTTCCAACGCAAGACATCTAATTTAAAGCAAGTGGCTAAGTAGTTTGCTAACAGCTGGATTGGGAGGGGGGTTTGCCCCTTGTCCAACTTGGCCTTAGATCAGCCTCAAAGGAATACCTGCGTTTATCCTCAGCAGTTTTTTTGGAATAACACTGAGGCTGCTTTGAAATTCTCTCTCTGCAGTATGCCTACCGTCATGACTAGAGCCACGCTGTTACCTTAATCATTCATAGGAGACAATAAACAAACTGAAATTCCCTCAATGTCGTTCACCTAATTATCAAAACCTACACACCAAATGGCGCTCTCCCCATGGGCCCACACTTTCATCTGGCACGGTGCCAACCGTCAACCTTTCAGAGTATTCAGATAAGAAGAGTATTTGTCGTTGAACACAACGGAAACGAGGACACTAGGTCTGTTGACCACGTTAAGCCAGATTTTCTCGACTTGGAGACAAGGCCAAAAGGGCAAGACCCGTTTGCAGTCAACGACAATCTCTACGACAGTAGACAGATGATTACCACATGCTTTGGCAGACGCGTACTCTGACTTTATTAATTCCACGCATGAGAATGAATTCGGTCGTTTTTTACGGTTTTGACAGACCTCTAAGTTACCTGGATAGACGAAAATGTCTGCCAAGGCTCTTTACCAAGAATTAAAGCTCTGACGTACAGCAAGCGAACATTCTTATCAGGTATCAGCAAACGTGAGTATAATCAATTATCTTGAATTAAATTTACGTTGCAATGTTCATTCAAAACATAAAAGTCGAGCGTTTCGATCTAAACCGACGTTTCGTCGCGCCAAGCCGCTACGCAATTCATGGTCGGGATGCTGTCGCTTCTGTCTCAGTTCTTCCTTAGGGGCTTAGTACTGTAACTTATCACAATAAGTTATGCAATTTGTAATAAAGCCTACTTTGTAGTTTAGTAATGCCGTTTTTATTTACCTTTCCAACATGTATAATAGAAATTAATGTTTTAAAAGCCAAGATACCGCAACAAGCTGCTTAACTAACTGCAATTGTTGACTATTCTAGTTACATTTTCTCTGTTCACACAATTACTCCAGTTGCTGCATCTCGAAAAAAATATTACTTAAATGTTGCTCTGTCTCCATATTCACAATGGCAACTTTTCATCCGGTGTTAATCACTCAGAAGTCATCAGGACATGATCCCTCAAGCATAAATGGTTCATCCAAGCATGGCATTTGTCCTTTTTTCGAGGCAATAGCGCTTCCCGGGATAGGATTGTGTCTCATTGTGCTACGAAGGGTTTAACGGAAGGGAATAGTGTTCTAGCACTCTGATGAAGCCAGTGTTACTGATAATTGTAACAACTCTACCCATCGAAATACTCTGTGCTAAAATTAATTCCTAATTAGGGTCACCTAGCGACACTAAAGCAATAGTAGTGCATTCTGTATTTTTTTTATAATAAATAAAGTACAAAGAAAAGCAGAGAAAACTAACCCTAAAAAGGAACGAATTGCCATTATTTTTTTGACTTATGCGTATTGTCTAAAAAATGAAATTTTCATTTTCGAAAGACTCAGTTTTCTTTAAAAAAATAAGTAAAACTACCAATGATTGAAATCGGAAGACCCACGGCTATTTATTGAAGTGGCTGAAATGAAAGCAAGTGCAACTGACAAAATCGTAATTTGGTCATTAGCTTCAGCTAATGGAACTATTCAATTTCCTAATTAATAATTAGCTAATTGCCGTGTCAGAACTCGCATAATGTAGTTATAATTTTGAAGAACACTGATTTCCACACGACAATTTCTCATAATCATTGTGCCAAAATAACGATTTTTTTCATAAATGTCACTCAAAAAGGTTCTAGTCAGGATTTATTAAGGAAGTGTCGGCAGTAAATTTGAATTAAAATTATACTAGAGCGAGTTCTAATTACTGCGCGACTGTTTTAATTTGCATAGTGTCGTAAAAATACGCAGAATGTTTTTAATCAATATCACAATGCAGAATAAATTCAGATAGTATGTGAAACCAAAATGTTAGAACAAAGCAAAAAATTTTGATTACTCAAAATATGGTAAAGTGCTTTAGAGTGATCTGGAGACATAGTATTTTTGTTAGTTTTCACTGGATTTAAAGTGGCCAAAAACTAATTGGATTCCCAATGCCCAAAAGAACGACTTATTCAACTTCTAACTTGCTAAAAACATAATTTTAATGCATTCTATCAGCTAAATTTCTTAGGTGGCTTATTATTTTGAAAAAATTTCTGGGCCTCACTTTATTATACTTAGTTTTAACTATAAAGAACGTGCTTGAAGACTAATAGCACTAGAAATTATAAACACAAACAACAAACAGGCTTTTACTGATATGCCAGAAACCGAAGTCGTTAGCCAGACACCGTCCTACGGAGTCCTGCATACGGGCTATACCGCCCATTGTAAAGAGCTTCTTATCCACCCATCTATCTGGTCGGCTGCTAATAATCTGTGTGGGCATTGCAAATGAAATAAATAAAAGATTGGTCAAGCTCTGTGTAAATCGAAATTCTACGGCCTAATTCGGCCTTCTGCTGCCTCACTTTCCAAGGCATTATGTATCTTCAGTATCTGGCTTGGTTTCATACAGTGTGGCAATGACTGCCCCACACTTGGCAGACGAGACTAGGAGACAAATGCACTTGTTGACTTTGGAGATGGCCATGTCGCTAATCGCAAGTATTTTCTACACTCTCAGTTCAGCTAGCGTTTAAAAGTTCCTTCCGTTCGGTTTTGAAGGCTTGAGGCACAGCCTTGAAAAAATGCAGATGGCATTCAAGAGTTCCACCAAGATAGGTGACAATTCCCATCGTTATGAAAAGCCCTTGCTCCTGTTGTCCATGGCAGTAGCACAAGTCTTGAGTTTTAAACCCCGTCATCTAAACACATACTTTGTCGTTAAATTTGGAAAGTGGAGATGTAGTTCAAAGAAAACAGGCGCAACAGGAGAGCCTTATTTCAAAAGAAACAAATCCGAACGTTTCGTCAGGCATTGTCCATCAACGTCTTTTATAATTGCTGATTCATTTATTATATAGTGCTTTTTACCCACTTATGTCTCTGGTCAATTAATAATCTTTCTATAACGCCAGCCAATTAGGTCAAATGATTACAAAGATTTGTGTCATTTATTAAGTCTGCGAATCATACCGCAGCCAGAGTGATCATATAGCAGGTGTACAATCTGCTAGAGGCTTCTGCCAACCATTACTTTAACTGACACTTCATCACGTTTACAAATGTTTAATAAAGATTAATGAACATGTATACATGTGCGTGTAAGAGTTGACACTACTTCCGTCTATGAAAGTGGACCATCTTTCTACCTTTATAGAGAATGATTGCTATCAACCCACTAGCAAAAACGGACCCGCACACTCTTTTTTAAAATGCCAAAGATGCCATTTTTTTTAGAAACATGAGACTACGTAAATGAACACAAATAGTCACTTGCTGCACTTATCTGCATTTGGAATTTAGCCTAAAAAGAATTTTTGACAAGTGCATTAGACCCTAAATGTAAATAAATATTTTATCAAAGTTTGTTTGATTTAGAAAACACTTTAGAAAATTCGCATGATAATTGATAATACCAAGCATGTGTTAGAGTTTTCAAGGTTAGATTACGTTTCAAAATTAACGCAAGGTTCCAATCGCATGTGTTTGGTGTTGTCGTTGCCGCCTGTGTCGTCGCCGCAAAACTTGTATGTTAGCTCATAATATGTGACGTTGATTGTCAAAGTAAAGCGTAACATATGACAAAGTTAGTCCCACCTAATGCCTCGTTGACTTAAATCTTTTGAAAATTTACTGCAGGTCATTATTTGCGTTCGCATGACATGTATTCCGCCGTTTTCATCAAAAGCGTTTTTTTATTCAAATGATGCCGTAAACCCAAATTCAATTTATTAATTTTCACCGGATTGGTATTTTGCATTGAAAGAGCTTCTTCGTATTGATAAAATGGAATTTTTTTTATTATGCCTTTTTTTTAAATTTAATGGGTACCTAGATGCCTGGTCGTAAACATCAACCTGCCCCTCTTTGATTGTATGCGCCTTTGCCCTTTATTTTAGTGTGGTTTTTGGATTACTAATGGTAACTTAATGGGTTTTATTTGTGCCCTTGTGACCGTTTATTTACCTTTACACTTCTTGTTTTATGTGGCATGTTTTGACAACTCGCCCATTTGTTGCTTGTAAGTCGTTAATTACATGTTTTTGTTTGTAGTTGAAATTACAATGGACTCCTCTTTAATTACCTCGTTACTTGATGAGTCTCGAGTGCGTGGATTCCTTAAAGACAATGCCGTTCACTTGCTTGTTAAAGCGGGCACAAAAATAAAAAATATTATCCAGTATATTTCAAAGCGGATTCAGACCGGAGACTGTGATCAGGTGTGTTTTTACTTTGCTGATGGGAGTCAGGTAGATTTTCTGTTGGGGTTTGCCTGGTGCAGTCGAAAAGGTTGTTCCTTTGGCTGAAATCATCAAGAAGCATTGGACTTCTCAGGCCGCGACGGTGTCCAACAACCCAACGTTATTTCAATGTACTCGACTATTCTTTCATCCCATAGAAATGAAGGTAGAGGATTATTTAGTCAAATCGGTGAGCTTATCAATGTGACTTTTTAATGTTTTCTTTGGTGGATTGGACTAAAACGGTCATTGGGCGATATTTGTTCGCTTAGCGACAACCCCACTTTATTGTAATTTTTTAACTTCGGATTAATTTTTATTAGTATACTAGTTTACGATACTTTAGCGATTAATGTTTGCGACCTGTCCCAATGTGAGGTTCGCCTGTAAAGCAACTCGAAGTAATCACATTCCATCGTTGGTTTATTTTGTCTACAAATACTTATCAATATATGCCGCAGCCACCCACTAAAACGAACTTCTTATAATCAAATTGGGTAATTTTGTCGCCATTGAGTGTAAGGTCGCCGATTTAATAAACTCTTTGTATTTGTGTATATTTAACAAAAGGCAGCTTTCAAGTGAAGCCTTTAACTTTTATTTAAACTAAATTCGTTTTGACCCTTAAATTCCTGAAATGTACCAAGTTAGTTTCTAAAGCATTTAAGTAACCCATGCGTGGTTGGATTTTGCCTGCCAATTTCACAGTAATTATCCTCCATGATTTGTTTAAGGGTACTTAAATTTCCACGTATGCTATTCCCATTTAAGACGTTCTGCAACGTAGGTCAGACACTTGGTTTTCTGAATATGTGGCTTATTAGAATAATCGTTGCTGAACATGACCTTTTTGAACTACTCGTGTTGTGTACAGGAGTTAATTTCGGCTTTGGTTTCTAGTTTGCTTTGCCTGAATATCAAGAAAGTAATGCTACGTCATTGTTACGGTTATCTATTATTCACATTGCAGAACAAGCCGGCAATGGTTATTATCATTTCGAAAAGTGAGCTAATTGACGATCCAACTTCAGGCAAGCCACTTGTTGAGATTCTCCCACCGCCTGGCAAAGAAGTGCCCCATACCGAAACCCCCTTCCCCAGCCGACGAAAAAAAAACCACCAAAAGAAAAAGCGAAGGAATTTAGAAGAAAGCGGGGCGCCCTTCCAAAAAGCAGCTAAGAAGCCCAAACTTTCACGGAAAGAAATGCGAAGAAAATGTTTCAGTGCGCCACCTAAGGCTGAAAAGGTATTTGAACCTACCCACCGGCTAATCCCAGCTGCTAAGGCGGCTAAAACAGCCGTCAGCACAGTGGAGGCCACAATGAAATAACAAACGCTTATTAAATACTTACCTTTTATTGGTGCCGTTTTTTGTGCTGCGATGGGACGATATACATAAAAACATTGTGTGCGCCTAATAGTCAATAGTGTAATATTCAATGAGTGAGGCTTGAAATTAGGAAAGCAAAGGGAGTTCGCGAACTTGTGAAAAAAATCACCCCTAGCAAGGTATACAGTGAGCGCATTAAATGTAGCAAATGCAATGGTTTCCAATTTTAGCGTAAAACACACCCACTTTCTTCAAACTCCATTAAATTTTTGTAAATGACCTGACCTGATAGCTACAAAAGCCTTTAGACATGAATCTGATTTTCTGATCAGCATCAAGAAATTAGTGTTTTGCGAAGTAGTGGATGGTAGGAAATGCAGCACAGTTCGATAACTGTGGAAGCCCAGTTGTTGTTACCAAAGTAAATTAAAAGGTCTGCACATTTTAAAGCGTCAAGTTTCCCGCCTAATGTGGTCCACGAAACCAAATTCCAACTCCACCAGGTTTCGTAATAGGTTATCAAGTGCAACTTTGCGTTTCCAAGTTAAGGCCGCAGTTGATACAAGGTGACAGAATTCGATAGGCATAGCCGCTTTGAAAAAATTCACATCGGAGCACCCTAGTGTCATAAATCCTAGAATAAAAGGTAATCCAATTTCTAGTAATACAGCAATTAAGGATGCTTTTCCTCAAAAATTTTAGTGAGTTTTACTACTTTTCTCTCTACTAGCATCGAGGTGACGAAATATGACATTAAACTCCTGTTGATTAACTACTTTTGGTCGCACCATCAAATAATTTTTGAAAGCCGTGCGGATCCTCTCTCATGGTTATAGCTTCCAGGCGTTTATGCAATAAATTTTGTCGAAACCTAGGACAAGGAATCAATAACATTGGGCCGATTTCATTCACATAAACCATCACTTTTTGTACGATCGCCGACTTGGGTCAGAAATACAACCACTGGAACTTCACGTAACGCCCATACTGCCTAGCCTTTTTAACGGCCCCCCAAATCATACTTTCATTGCCCCTAGAATACAAATTTTTCTACCGCAGACTTGTAAAACAACCATTGATTTTTAACACAAAAGGACTGACCCAGAATAAAACGAAGGACCAAACTTTCCAAAAAAAATAGGAGAATAAATGCGATCAATTTATTGTAGCAGGATAGTATGGGACCGGGGTACAAAGGAACAAATAATTTGCATTGGAAATGATGGTAAAATAAAACAAATCAGGACTGACATTGCTGGTGGTTACGTTGGTAAAAAAAGCACAAGAGTCACTCCAAGGCGGAAAGTAACATCATCTGTTTGAGAACTTTAGTCTGGCTTGTTTCTCGTATTTCGCCTGCAAGAAACATTTCATCTACAACCGTGTAAACTTTGTAAAAGTTAAAAACAAGGTCAAGTTCGCAAACATTATGGAATAATTCATTAAGAACTTCAACGAAGTTGTGAATTGCTTCAAGGTGTGCAAGGCTGTTGTCCATTACGTCGATGCAAATGCAGAAGTAAAGGCCCGCATAACGACGGTAGACAATTTTAAAATTTCTAAATTCAACAAAGTTGGTGTGCTTAACGTCCCGAACGGTAACAAGTGCATGAACCTCTTCGATTAACTTTTGTTTTTCTGTGTCTGCCAGGTTCATATACCATTTGGCAAGACGCGTTTTGCCAGCACGATTCTGAATAAGAATGAACCTTATCATGACCGCAAGACAGGACACAACTTATTGGTTATCTGAGTTTATTTAAGTTGAACACTGCTCCTTATATGAACATAAACAAAACGTGACCTAAAAGCACTTTGTGACAAGCAAACACATTTAACTTTGATATCTAAAAAATATAATAATTTTTCTACAGTTTTTATATAGCAGTAAACATGCATATATAATCTGAGTTAACGAATCCTTGAATCGAAAAGCCGGTTTGAGTTTTACATAAAAAAATTAGGAGAAGGTGGGTACTGCAGGGATTAGTTTATATACTATTAGCTAAACTGTATGAAGAGCTAATAATTGACAGTTCTGTACTGGAAGTATTTGATATGTTCTGCTATTCGTCTTGCTGCTTGCTCTGAACATCCGGAAAATTGTAATTATACAAGTTAGGTTTGCTAAATTTCAAATGGTATTCATAAGTAAGTGTCACTCAACTTTTGTATTTATATTTAAGTAAATGATTCTATCTTTTGCTTAGAATACTTCATGAATGATGATGAACCAAGATGTCACTTCATATTATTGGAAATATTGCAAGCGGGCACATTTCTCTTGATGCGAAAACACGTGTCTACTTTGTAGTTATGTAGTGCTTGAATGGATTAAAGTGCAAATTCATAGCTGGCCTGCTTGAAATCAGCGCCTGATGAGCAGTAAAATCAAGTCGTTTACGTGCTTGGATCGTACCATACAAACCTCCATGATCTGATATCAACTGGCATCATAATTGGGCTGACAGTTGATAAGCCAATCGTTTAGAGCAAAGCAGCATCACAAGACTCGATTTATTAAGTGACCAACGCGAATTTAAATAACAGGTTCGCAATCTACAAAAAAGATTTATCATTATACCTACCCTTCATGCCAAAAGATCAACTACGTTTATCACTCCAGAAAAACCAAATTTTCCTAAATGTTTTCGTGTATTTAATGTTATTTGAATCTTTCCTGACGACCCAGCCGTCTTATGGATAAAATTATATTTCGCTGGTGTTTTTTTTAATTTGATTTCGAGTCTGGTTATGTTCCCAACCATGTAGTATTTAATGGAATCTACCGCATGGGTGCCGTCCTCGAAAAATACTGCCCTTCAAATGGAACCTTGAATACATCCCACAATCCATCATTTGTGATTTGCTTACAGTCAACTAGCGGCTGTGAACCCTTACAAGATGCTGGGTCAATTAAATAATGGCCTGTCCAAGCCGATGAATTGATTGGGAGTCAGATTGGGAGTCAAACCACCTCATATTCTCTTCGCTCAAAAATGTACCTCAAGCATATCAATAAAAAACCAAAGCGAGTACTTGAATTTCTTAAACAATGCGCTTAAACAACCTACATGTACCGGGAGAACACCTACTTCCGACATCGATATTCCGTTAAATAAAACGATCACCTGCAAGGACCGTTGTCTCATGGTGGGTGAGTTTTTTGTCTAATTAAATAACAGGAACCGATTGACCAACGGGGAAAACGTGAGCAGGAGTAGACAAAGAAAAGGACCTTTTCTCAAATTTACAATAAAAATATTTAGTGTAAAGATGAAGGTGCTGAACCCAAGCTGATAAAAAGCCGACCCTTTTACAAACTAGTAAGAGCTTCTTCTGGGCTGCCAGCCACCACGGCCATGATGGCTTCCACGAAACGGTAGTCTGTTGCGGTGGCGCCAAAGCGGATCTCCAGGGAGACAAGCATAGGGATTGCCATAGGCACTAGGTGGTGGGTACGCAGGTGGGTAAGGCTGTGGACGCTGGTAATGACGCGGTTGGCCTGACCTTGGATTGTTCCGAAGTTGGTCACGCGTAGGTAGAGCATGACGAATCATGCGTTCAACCACGGACTGGTGGTGGGGGTGGTCGAAGTGGCGTTCCAGAGGAGCGGGTGTCATGGCGCACGACTCCCACCCGTTGGTGACGGAGCACCTTTCGCGACCTCGAAAGGATTCACTCTCACGAGAATCAAAACGAGAACTGCTATTATTACGGCCCCCACGACCGCGCCCACGACCTCGCGTCGTGGAAGGCAAAAGTTGGCACCTCGTAGGTAACTTGACCTACATAAAGTTGACGGGTTAGAGAAATTTGCCATCACAGTATCCAAACGAAAAACAAAGACGATGACCCAAATCACAGCAATTATTTGCATTTTACATGAGTGAGACGGCCGGACAAACATAACTACATTGAATAAAGCATTAAGCCTGAGATTGATCGTTTAATTGGAATGTGCTTGATAGTTGTCCCAGGCGAGTTCCAAGGGATTAAGTTGCGCAAAATCAAAGTCAAACAAATAAGAGAATTTAGCTTAAGCTTTCCGAAGAAAATGATAATGAACTAGGTTCATTGCCAATTGAACAAGCGAGATATTGCTCTTAGAAGGGTCCATTATTTAACAGAAGGTGAACATTACCACAGCAAATACAAATTACCAAATCAAGGTAAATACGACGCTACTTAAGCCAAAACTTGCTATATTCCCTGTGAGGCTATTATAAAGATATCATTCAGCATCATAGTGAGTGCGCATGTAACTGAGGAAAACCCATTTCTTTCAAATAACAGCATGGAATTACAAGGGAAACAATTTCAGTGTGAATCAGTGAGACACCTTAGAACCGCATAATAGAGGTTTAGTAAGTAAAAACCACCGAATCTAAACCAATATTAAACACAGGAAACCCCTTACCGAGTCCAGCAATCGAGCAGGAAAAACGTGTCCAAATGGGTATTCGGGATTCTCAAAGAACACCGAAATGGCTTTCTGTTCAACTGCAGGAATGTCAGGCAGCATACCGGGTACACCAGACGCCATACGACAGCCAGGCAAACAAGCGTTGTCATAATCTGGCCAAACATGTCCAGATATGCCTTCAGTTAGCGCGGAGTTGATAAGGGTTGCATTAGCTGGCGCACTACCAGTATAGTCGGCGCATTCACCCCTGGCAAATTTGGTGACGACAACCTCGTCATCCTCTTCATCGTTGGACTTGTACAGGGAAAGAAGCATCCGGCCCATTGGGGTATCGGAGCGCACAAAATAAAGCACGGGACGGCGCAGATTGCGGAAACGCTCATCTGCTGTGAGCTGGGCTCGACGTGAATCGAGGGCTTTTAATAAACGAACCTCGTCGACAAATGGGAGCAGCGCGACGCCCATCCACAAGTACCGTTTGCCGTTTAGGTCCACCTAGAGGTAAATCAGAATAATGCATAGGTATGCAAGCAAATGGAAATATAATTGTTATCGTATAATTAAGCGTGTACATAACAACCCAGCACCAGGTAACAACATTCCTCTTAATCGCGAGTACCCCAGTCCACCTCCAACAAAAACATCATAATGTCCACCACACACATGACTAATCCGAATCGCAAGTGGCAGATAACAGCAGTTTCAACATTACCGACGGGTGACAAACTCTTTTTTTCGAATAAAAATGGGCTTTGTGTGCTTATGCTTGATGCTAGACAATTCCCAAGAATATTTAGAATATTGTTGTTGTGCAGTAGCATCAGCCATGCGAAGGTAATATTTCCGCACATTAAGTTTTATTATAAACTTAAGTCCTAGGCGAAGCATGGAATTGGAAATGAAGGCGAAAATCATTCGTATGGTAAGGCACTAAACAGTAAGTCGATAAACTATACTGAGATATCATAAATTATTGGACAAATCTAGCTCTCAAGACCTGAAAAATCGAATGTCCTGTCATTCAAGTTATGATATCAATTTTGTCAGAAGCTGATTGATTACTAGCATTTCAGTACTGGTAATTTTCCGACCACCAAACAACTAAAAGTTACCTTGAAATCAGTTGGGTAGAAATCGATTATGGGAGAGTCTGGGTCGGTCATTAAGTCCTGCCAAGCAGGAGGAATGTGGCTACGCGAGGCGGCAGGGAAAACGCCCATTAGTTGTTCAAGAGGGCAGAATGGTTTGGTGCGTTTATTGCTGAAACCCGGATCCACTGAGGCAACGTCAACAAAGTCGCTCGCGAACGGTGCATAGTGATAGGGGTAATACCAGTCCCAGGAGGCGCATCCCTAAAAAGAAAACTAAGAAATTAAGTTGGTGATGGAGATAGTTGTGGAAATTATAGCGTTCGCACACATGTACAGGTTCTGTGACTTAGTCAGAACTATGGCTTCAGTTGAGACAAAGGCCCTTAATAAAAATAGCTACACAAAATGCATGTCAATTAGTCTGACGAGCAAAAATGTCGGTCTTTGTGCAGAATGCGCAGAGGCTTACTTAGGCAACATAAACTTAATTCGTACCTGTTCAAAAGAAGCATTTTGCCAGAAGAGCAGCACTAGAAACTACGCGATCTACAGAAACACACCAGCTAAATAATTGTACACACTCATTAACACCCGCACAACCCCAATTTTAACATGTTCCATCTTTTTTTCGATTGAACAAGTGTGACACGAATGCATGTGAGATTATCACGTCGGTCGTGGTGGGGCAAATTTTCATCCACTCTACAAGATGACATTTGAACTACATCTGAAAGGTTGTTACACAACGAATACCACGTAAAGAGACTTCACGCAGTGATTTTCCTAAAACCAATCCCGTATTCACAGACACCGACTGTCCCTAACCCATAACCACAACTGAGCAGCTAATTAAATTGGTTGGTTCTGGTTTTTTTTCGTTTTTTGCAACTGTAAGTTCGTCAGTGTAATTTTGTGAACGGTACCACAGAAAGACACATGACCGTGCTTACTTGGTAGTAGTAGGCTAAAACCCAACACAGACCGATGACATATTCATGGGCCACTCTGATGCAGAAATCAGGCGCGTCCTGTGGGTCAACACCAAATTTTGATTGGTAATAACGCGATCGCCAGCCGTCTTCCCAAAGGCGCACCTCGTCAAACTTATCCACCTTTTCGTCCTCGTCCATCGGTAGTTCTCCCTGAAATGAGGAGGGGGGCAGTAATATAAGGCGAGAAGGCTTGTCTGGTAGTAAAGAGCATGGGTTAAACTAATGTCAAGTAGCATAGGTCGCATCCTGATTTATGAATTCAATCAAGTTTTTTTTAAATGTAATGTAATGTCAAACCTAAAAATACGTGTGACCACACCAAATCACGACACTGAAGACAATCGTGGCAAAGAGCCGAACTTGTGTCGAATACGGAGACGTGCTTTAAAGGTAATAGATCAGGTTTGAGTGCCTTCAGGTTTTGAGAAAGTGGGTCGTGTTAGTAGTTTCGAAGAAGAAGCTATTCAAGGGTCATTTTAACTAGTTAATTTTCATAAAATTCCACCAAAAGCACATATAAACAGCACTGCTCGAATGGAAGCTAGCCGAGTGACTAACACACATATGTCGAGAAGAGGGGCAATGAAAGTGTGCTTTACAATCTACTACAAATACCTCATCAGGTTTTTCTTTGAGAGTAGAGGCATCCACACCACCAAGTCGGCCTCTCTTAACTGGCGTCGGTGATCCACTACCGGAATCGGCATCGTCTGTCAACAACTTTCTTTTACCTAAATTTGAATTTGTGGAAGACTTGAGCATTGCACGCAACGACACAGCAGCTTCTTGATTCTGTAGACACTGCTCAACCCAATTGACATTCGGCTGTCTACGTTCGTCTCGCAGCGCCTTAGCAGCAATTGAGCAGTCACCTGGTCGCGGCTTATTGCCGATTGGTGTGGGAGCCAGAATACCCGACGAGGGTGATGAGAAGGACTGGCGTCCACTAACGCCATTATGGCGCTTGCGCCTCTCACGGAACGCCAACTCCTCGGAACGTCGGGACTTGAAAATCTCGTCTTCAACCTTTCCCAGCTCCGTTAGTATAAGCTAAGAGAAAAAACTTGGTACACTGCGTGATTAATCCACTCGAAAAAACCCGATTCGTCTGAATGGGATTCATTTGAAGCCCTTAATGGATAAGTGACCTGCGACATTAAAGCTAAAATATAGCAAAGACAAGTGGCATAAATTTAACCAAGCATTCATTTTATTACTCACAGGATAAAAACTTTCTAATAATTTAAGAAGCCATCGAATTGTAACTTCGTGTGCACAATATGACGGAAAATTATTATAGAAGAGAAACCACAAAAACCAAAAGATGCAAAAAACTATCACAATATCCATGGCCTAGCAAAAAACTGATTGGCTTAGATGGTTTATGGCTAGAACAGAAAAGTCAACCGTCGTCTTCGATTTTTTCAAACCCAAACGGCCTTCACAATTTCAGATAGTACAATACCTGCAACAATAAAATTTCTACCTGATTGAAAATGGAAAAACCGGTGTTTTACTTCGCTTTGCGCTACTTTCTGTTTTGGTATAAACTCCCTGCACTAGTCGGAAAAAGCTGTTTTACAGGAGTAAGTAGACTTTAAGTGTGAATGGTAAAATAACGAGATTACTTAAAGTAAATATACCAAAAAACTGGCAAATGGTGACCAGAAACAGATGAGACAGAAATACAACCAGCCTTCTTACCTGTACACGATCAAGGTGAACTCGGCCAGAATCCGTGAGCCAACCACCGACGTCACAAACTGCTGACTTATAAAGTGTGATCAGGCGGTCTATGGCACCCTCTCGAATTTCCAAGCTTGGAAGATGAGGCAAAAAGTCATTGCCGACGAAGAAACACATAAATACCCAATCGTCAATAACGCGCTCAAGATCCCACTGAAAAGGGAGGTTTGGTATCTTGAGATCATCTTCCAAGTACTGTCGAAGCACGGCCAATTTAATGAAGATAAATTCCTAAAATGATAATGCGAAACCACTCAACAACCCAGACAAAAATAAAGGCCAATTATACGCATGTGGTTCAAATTAAACAAAATTTTGGGATTACAATGTTTGAAGATCAGAACGGTGATTCTGCGCTGACTATGAAGCCGAACGACAATGGACCTCCAAATTGAGATGTTCATGTAAACGTCTACAAGTTACTTTTTGATATTTTACATAGTAAGTATGAGAATATGTGCTCATTCTCCAGCTATGTTGTATTCATCTAGTCCCGAAATAATCATAAGTGTTCTTCAAATATGGAGCAACGTGGTACAAAATGACTATTTTGAAAGCCAAATCCAGTTGACGAATCTAGTCTCCCAGTCTCATTACTGCTTCAAGTTCTAAAACCTATCTGATTAACGACAACAATAGGATAGCCGGAGTAAATACACGAATAGGACTTTCGTCACTTTTTGCGTTAGTCCAACAACCTGCTATGTAGGACAGATCCCTATGTTGAATGAACACAGTAGCACAACCTAAATTCTAAGGATAGTGGAAACGTACAACGTCTGTCCCTGGGGGTGGAGGTGGCCGATCGGAATTTTCACTGGGTGCCCCAACACAGTCCTCCATTTCGTGCCCATACTGACCACATAGATCACAAGGCTTAGGCTGATTGGGCTTGAACTCCTCCCGTATTATGGTAAAGTGAGGTTCGTGAGTGGCCAGGCCTAGCATAATTAGATCTGCATCCGCCCCACACAAACAGTGACGAGTATTAGGGTCGTGGGTTGGTGCCTGTCGCTGTCGCCGAATAAAATCCATTATCTTATGCTCCCCCTCTCCAGGAGCGTTTGAGTCACTCAGAATGACCTGGATGTTCCGCCAAGCTGGGTTGCTGTTTAACCTCTCATATATATAATATTGGAGGGCAACTGCCAATCGCTCCATAAAAGGTGTTCCAGGCGTAATACAATTGGAATCGAAATGCTCCGAAGTATCTTTGAGGGGTGGAAGTTTGGCTCCTTTGGCAAGCAACTCCGCACGCAAGCGTTCTATTGTCAGTTGCTTATCGTGTGATTCTTTAGCAGCCCTGAAACGGCGTGAGCGTTGTTGGTTCATCTTGGCTCGAGGAGCAACGCCGTCAATGGCCATATAGAGCAAACGACGAGGGCGAATGAGGGCAAATAACCGGTCGATGTACTCAAAAATTGCTACAAACATTTCAGCTTCATTTTTGGGCGCTGGTTTGTTTTCAGGGTGAGTACAGGGATGAATGATTCCATTCATGTCAAGGTAGAGATTGTCAAACTCCTCGCCATTGGGATTCGGTTCATTTAGGTTAATGGGCGCTCTGGTTCCATCAGAATCGATTACTTGGCCTCGCTTCTCGACACAATGAACAACGATAGAGGGGTACTTCTGACTTAACCATCGGAAAAAGGCAGGAACTCCCATGACTCATGGGGTTTAGTAGACCTAAACAGATGATAATATTTAAAATTGAAATCTGAAGTTCCAGCATCAACACAAATTAGTCTGGGCACTAGTAAACTGGTATCTTGACCGAACAGATGATAAAATTACAAAGTTGAGTAGGAAAAATTCTTATCAACGATGTTGAAAGTGAATGAAGATGCCAACAGTAGACACCAACAGGCGAACTGTACCTAAGACCAAGAGTTGATTAAAAGTTCGGGCCAATGAGACAGCTTTAATACTAGAAACCAAAAAATTCAAACACTAAGCAGCAACGATAACCAAGAAAAACAAACAAAACGAGCCAAAAGAGAGAAGGATAAGAAATTAAATACCTCACTGGCTAATACTTGCAAAATCCGAAAGATGCGTTGACACTACATCAGGATTCAAAATAAAGTTAGACCTTGAAAAACAGGGACGTAAAGAATGGAAGATGGAATTAATATTAGATACCAAACTATGAATTTATTGAATTTTATAAACAAGAGAAAGATCATCTAGTTCTGTAAAATGGGTACTTCGCCTACACTTGCCTAGCAAATGCATTCTCTGTTTAATAAAAATGAAGCACAAAAATTTCTTGGGACACCAAGCTGTTTCTTCGGTCATTTAGGCTGTATTAGCATGTAAAGGGGATATCAAGGCCCAGCATGGGTAGCGGAGAATATACAGATAAACAAGATTTAGGAAGGCATTAGTGTAGACAGCAGCAGCAAATCGTGGAACGCCTGAACTAATAAAAGTTCCACACCAAACACCAAAACCCACGATTCTGACCAATCAAAATATAAACCTAAACAGGACTAAAGTTGCGGTGCATTCTAACTACACTTCGATTATTTGCGTATAATTATTAATGGTTTTCATGCAGCAGTTTTCGAATATAGACTCCGTGTGATTTTTAATACAAAAATACAATAAATAAATTAACAAAGCGTCACTTGTATTTGTGCTAATTAAACACTTTTACAGATTACTACAAGTTTTCATATTTGTTTGCCCAAATATTCATCTCTACATACGAGATGATTAAAAAACTTTTTGATATTCTTTTCTTAGAATCCTACGCAGTTTTTAAAATAAAGTTTGTAATGTAGTGCTTTAAAAATAATGTCTTTCAATGATGACCACTTCCTAAAAATTGTACGAAATTAAAAAAAACCTATCACTTTTGCTCGTGTTCATATTTATTATGATGTAAGTTATCAAATAATCAACCCCTGATGTTAAAGAAATTGATTTGAATTTCTGTCGGTTATGGTTAAACCGCTAATTGTTTGCTGGTACATCCGAAACCAATTTCGGCACAATCTTCTAAAAAACTCCTTTGTCCAATTTGCTTTTCCGTACTAAAATATCCCAATTTAAATTTTTGAGTTGAATTTATTCCTGTTTCGATTCGAAACGAAGTTTTTACCATTACAAACCATCGTTACACCTTACCCCTTGTTAACTGCAATTTACCGTTTTATTGTTTTTTTTTTTTTGAGATTGAAATATCGGCCCATAAATAGCAATTTTTGCAGCTGTGTGAATCGCAATGCCTGATTCAAAACAATTTTCCTATCTTGCTTTTATTTATATACTGATTAACAGCTTTGGAGAATCCATGGTTTCTCATTCTTTTATAACATTAAATTTCAACTCACCTGGCAAATCACCTCTTCGACATATTCTGAGACTTTACTGCTATTGGCTTAGATGGTTTACGATAAACTGCATGCTCTAGAGAATTTGTACATTATGACCATGGTTTTTTGTCTTTTTTTTCTTTAGTGGCATTGCAGGTACATGAGGGAAATATACTGTCTGCGTTTGCGTTACTCATAATAACATTTAACACCGGTGATACAAATCAGGCTTTGTATTTGTAGTTTTATTCTTTTTGGGCGAATGACCCAATTTTTCTGCAAATTAATTAAATGTAAAATGTATATAACAACCAACCTATTCTTGGAATCACTGTCCATCGTTTTCCACGACTTCGCTCCATCTTTTAGGTAATATGCGAATGCCGTCGAGAAAGAATTGGGAAACTTCGAAGGAAAAGACTTATCGACAAACTCATGCATATCGCCCAGCGTTTTGAACTGTTTATCCACTAAAGCGTACTGGTGCTCGGTTGATGTCAAATCTGGTAAATATGCCGCGTATGGAAGAACTTCCCATCCCAAGTTAACGAGGGTCTCCTGATTCTCGCGAACAACTTGACGTCGGCAAATTTGATGCAGCAGCAATATGACTTGCCTGGTTCCTTGACCAGTAAACAGCCATTTTTGGACAAAATCCTTGCTCAGTTTGTTCAATTGTTAACTATAATGTTGCGAAGTCACCACCTGACCACTTTCCAGGGGTTTGTAGTAAGGTACGTCCTCCATGTTTCACTAGATACGCAGGAGAACCTTCTTCAAGTGATTGTCCTATTTCAACGTGTATGGACTGCGTTTCTCGGGATCTGCCTGTCATAATTTTTCACATAAACCTAATTTTTTTTCGGACAAGCAGTGAAAGTAATGTGTTTGTACATGACTAGGGTTGTGTTTGGTCAACACATGTGGGACCCAACTTCCAAGTTTTGAGCTTTTTCCCATTTAGTGCAAATGCTTGAAAATAGCTGTTCGGTTGACTTTTAACTTAGTTGCAAGCTCTTGTTGCGTTTGCGTTGAATCTTCATCGAGTAGACCTTACGATTCCGCATCTCCAAACTTTCGAAGCTGCTGTCCGGAGCGCAACTGATCCATAAGATTAAAACTACCGCTTCAAAAAAATATTTACCAATAATTCCACGTTTCATAAGAGACAGCGCTGGCGACAAGAGCGCTAAAAATTAATTTCCGCGCTTCGAAAGCATTTTTCTCGTAGGAATTTATATAGAATGCGGTGCCAAATGTGCTATTTAATAGTCGCCATCGTAAACGCTGCTATTCTGAGGGGTTATGTAACTCGCGTAGACTTGTCGTTCAGTGTCCTGAAACCTTGCGTCCGATTATGCTCTACTTATAGTTTTTGGCTACAAAAAAATGTCTGTGCAAACTAAATCACACACCTAACCTTTTGTCTGTCTGTTGTCTCTATTTGCGTTTCAAAATTTAATCCTCTCGTGTACATGAATGCCAAGCCTACATACTTCGAAATTTGAGTAGCGTGAGTAATTTAGTAATTTAGTTCAAGAAAATAAGCCGAGGCACCTAAAGTTCCCGTTTTTTGACGGTGGCCTGCATTTTGAAGTTACAATCGATTTGATTTTCCCCTTCCAGTTCAGAGGCCTGTTCATGCTTTCCAAAATTTAAGTCTCCAACGATTTCCTGCAAGAATCGGGAGACAAAATCAACGTTTTATTATCGGCTATAATGACATCTTAATTTTCAAATTCCTTTTAAATTTCTGTATTTTCTGTGCCTTGGGGCATTAAATTCTAGTTAAGTAAACATGTAAAATCCGTTCTTTCCAAGAAATGGAGATTGAATATAATTAGAAACTTGTGCATCAAGAGCACACTATAAGTATTTTGATTCATTAAATGGGCGAAATCACAGACAAAGGTAAATCCTCCTTATCAAGTAGTCGATGTGTCTCTTCACCTCTTACCATCCCACCATCTCTATTTTGAATGTGGTCGCACATGAGCACGTAATTCTGTGTTCCTACCCTCCCGTTCAAGTCGGTGATATATCGGTAAACACCATCTTCTATGCACACGAGCTTAAAGAACGTAACACACTTGTTGATTGGCCTAATGGACGGTCGATTCTCTGTTGACCCTGGCCTTTTTCTGCTGGTACCTCACGCCGTATCTTGCCACAAGTGCGATTCGTTATGTTTTCTACTTAACTGGACCACCACATCGCCTTAATTGGTATTAACCTATAAATGCAGCTTAACGAATTCGTCAAAAGTTAGATCCAGTTCAGTGATCTATAAAAATAACTCATTTAAGACTCTCAGTGTAAATTTTTAATTTCGCACGCACAGAAAACAGCAGCCATGTGCGTGAAATTGGCGGTGCATTCTAAGAGTATTCTGATCACCTTAGGTAATGCATCTCTTGCGAATGTTACAAGAGTAAAAAGTATTCAAATTTGCGTAAACAAAGCGTCTTGGTAAGAGTTGATTGAACTTCCTCTTAACACAGGTAGGTTTTGCATTGCAACCGATGAGCGCAATCAAAAGTGAAATTTATGCTGTAGCATCTTAAAAACGGCACCAAACATTAGTAGATGCGAATGGATGTCATGAACACATTTTTGGCTCTACACTACTACGCGCATTAGAGACATGAATAACCATAGACATAGAGATAACGAAAGTGGCTGTCACATAGCACGCGCTTTACATATTGATCTAGATCGTCAAAATGTGTTGCGTTTAAACGATTTGGACATATTGGATAGACGAACGAAAGTCAACTACACCAAAATGGGAGAAACACAACGAAAGTGATAGTTTGCAGTGGATCGTGTTGCTTCACGTCCAATAACCCAGTCGTCGCAGCTTCCAACACACTTCCACCTCTTCACGGCGAATCATTCAGTCACGTGAGACCACTGGTTCATTAACCCCTCTGCATGTACCACCACCACCACCACCACCACCACCACCACCACCACCACCACCACCACCACCACCACCACCACCA